CCCCGGGACCTTCACGGATCGATCGGGCTCGAAAAATGGCACGGAAAGTTGGGGTCCAGTGCTCCTGGCGCGTTTTTGTCGACGATGTTGCGAGTGTTTCGCTACGTCGGAGTCCAGGGTAGGCCAGAATCTCCTACAGCCAAACCGCTGAAACAAGGACCGTTTTGGGTCTGGAGGGGGCTCGCTGCTCCTGAGGTCCTCCCATGGCTGTTTCTCTAGCGCTCCTCGTCCGCGCAGGCACTCCGGGGCCAAGACAGGGCCTCGTTCCTCACCTGGCGTTCCTTGTTTCAGCAACCTGGCTGCACCTCCAGCGTGGCCAGTGTTCCGCGGGGCCCCGGGCGCGAAATTTTGGGGGGTGGGTGGGGGAGCGGGCCTTCAGTGGCTAAGCAGTCCTTTCTGTGGAAGGCTGCTACATTGCGAGGCAGGTTTTCCCCTCCCCGAGGAAGTTGTGTTGTACAGTACACGCCGGTCGCTGAAAGTAGGTATTTTTGGACTCCCAGATCCCAATCTGATTCAAGCGCCTTCCTACTTCAAGAATCGGCATGCTTTTGCTGTGTTTTCTTATTCTCTGGGAGGACCTGGACCCAATCTACCATATCCGCCTTCCTACTTCACGCTTCTACCTACTTCTTCCGACAGGCGTGTAGGTTCACGTCGTGTTGACTGTTGACGACACCGCCGCTGGCGTTCCACGTTGAGCGCCGCCGGCGACCCAGAATCCGTCGATGTTGAAGGCTCTGACGTTCCAGAAGCGGCCCGTCGTTCAAGGTTGAGCGATCCCCGCTTGTGCCAGAAGCCAAAGCCGAAAACGGCACGAGACGAACAGGCGTTTCTTTCCTCAGGAAGGTTGTCCCGAGGAATGCTTTTGGACGGCCTTTGCCCTCCTGAGAAGGACGGTAGCCTCCCTCCAGGAGGCTACTCCTTCTTGAGGGGTGTGTTCCCTTCCGGGGATAAGGGGGGGGTGACGAGAGCGGCAGGAGTTCCAACAGGAGGGTCAGGAGGAGGAGGAGGAGGAGGAGGAGGAAGGAAAAGAGGACGAGGAGGAGGAGGAGGAGGACGAGGAGGAGGAGGAGGAGGAGGAGGAAGGGGGGGGAGATGAGGGCGGCTCCAGCGCATGCCCTGCTGCTCGAGAACGTTGCAGACACTTCTAGCAGAGGCTTCCGGCAGCGAGGGGGAGTGGGAGGGGCAGGGGCGGCCGGGAGGGGGGCACCCCTCGTGCGAGCGGACGACCGATTCGGGTGGGCGTTGGCCCACAGGCGCTTCGAAGTGCGCCCACGAAGTCCAGACCTCCCAGAGAGCAGAGGAGGAAAAGGTACCCATACCTCTACCCTTCCCTGGTGTTCCCCTTTTTGGGCCCCCTGGGCGGCCCTCGTCGCCGACGCTGGATTCGCCGCGAAATCCGTGTCAGAACGCACCCCAGGAGAGGTCCGGGGAGTAGCGATATCAGTACTTTTTGACTTCCCAAAGGTAGGGTCCGAGGAGATGGGGTCGGTGCATCGCGCCGCATCGCTGATGCATCGGCGATGCGGCTCGATGTGGAGCCAGATTTTCTCCACGCCGACGTCGCTGGAGAATCGCCAGCGATCCTGGAGCACCGCCGGTGCATCGCCGATGAGGCGCGATCTTCCGACCTCATTTACTCCGACCCCATCTAGGAGGCCTATATGAAGCCGAAGCTAAAGTTGAGGAGCACAGAAAGGGAAAGGGCCAACACTGCAGACTCGTTTGACAGCACTTTGTTGAGCGGTGTTGGAGCCGCCCCTGAGCACAAGCCCCTCCTGGAGCTGCAGCCTCACAAGTCGGGTTTGCACCCTCATGCCTTGCTGAACTCCGAGCGCGCTTCGGCACTGCCACTGCCATTGCCGCTGGCTCCTCTTCGTGGGGTCACCGACTCGGGTGACGGCGACAGCGACAGCGGTGGTGGCCGACTCAAAGGAGAAGGAGATCGCGAAGGAGGAGGGGAAGGCGGAGGAGGAGAAGGCGGGGGCGAGGGCGCATTCCGGCGGCCTCCGTGGCTTCCAACGGCTTCGGGTGCTAAACAGAGGCGTGCGGAGGAGGCGGGGGGAGGAGAAGACGCATGAGGTCGAGGTCGGGGAGGGGTTGGGCAGGAGGAGAATGCCCAGACCCCCCCCCCACACAAAGAAGCCGCTCGAAATTTGTTAGAAGCACAGAGATCAGGCCGAACCCTCGAGACGCTGCCCTCGCCTACCTCGCATAGGAGGGGTGGCGGGGGGACTCGAGGGGACGGACCATCGGGGGCAGCTGGATGGTCACGCGGTGTACCGTGCGGGAGGCCCTGAGGGGTCTGACGGGCGGGGAAGCTGGAGGGGGAGTTTCGAGAGGAAGGCTTCAGTTGGCGCTCCGTCGCTGAGCGGGGCCACGGCGGATTCCGATCGGTCTGGGGGCCCTCCAGGAGCGGGGAAGAGGAGCAGGAAGAGGCGAGAGGCAGAGGCGAGGAGAGGACGGCGACGAGGAGTACGGTGAGTGGAACAAAAAGACGTTGGCGCGATGAGGCGGAGGAGCCCAGGGTGCCATGAGGACAAAGCTCCCGAACCGTGCCATCAAATCAAAAGCGCTGCCCTGAACGCGGTGTTTCCAGCAGGACGAGGCCGGGCGCGTGATCCAGTATCGCACAGCATTCGCCCGTGGGTTTTGATCCGATGTTTTTTTCAGGCGAGGCCGATATCGCTCGCGACGGCTCATTCTTGCTTACTTAATCGTTGCGCTTATTCCGTTGGCCCCTATAATGTCATCGCTAACACGTGTTGATGTGCTTGCGGGGGTTGAGGAGGTGTTGGGTGGCGGTCGTTTCCCTGAGCTGCCGCGTGAACCTCTCTTGGGAGAGAAGCAGTGGCAGGGTAGTTGCAGGGCGAATTGAGCACGCCGCCAGCCAAAGTTCTGTCGGTGCATCCCGCCAACGCGCCTGCGTCGTGGGTCACAGGCGTGCTGGATGCATCCCGGGTCCCAGGGATGCCTCTTGGAGGCTTCTTGGGGGGGCACTCGGGGGCTTCCTGGGGCCTCTCTGGCGCTTCGTGGAGGCGTCTTGGGGGTCTCTTCGGGGGGGGGTCAGGGGGGACACGTGGGGTCCTGCTGCCACCGTCGGAGGCCCTCTCGGGAGCCCCTTGGGCCGTGCGAGGCGGTTCGTGGGCCGTCTTGGGTCCCTCCTGGGCCGCTGTGGGCGTTGTTCGTCTTACAAACACGCGCCAGGCGTGTTTGCTGGCGTTTTCTACTTGGGGTTCTTGAACGGCTGGAATAGGTGCAGCACGCGAACTCTATGCTGTTCAGCGTTGATAGGGTAGTTGTGTTTAGCGTTGTCAGGCCCGTCGTTCTGCAACATCGTCTTGTTAGCGCGTGTTGTTTCTCGTCGAAGGTTGCTCCATGCCTTCCCTGCCGTATTCGTTTCTCGTTGTAACATATATAGATGGGGTGGGGGCTTAAAGTGGTTCCCGTACACAACAAAGAACTAAACGACGTTCTGGCATCGGTCTGACACCAGAGCGAAACAGGCTTGGGAGCACACGGCCTGTCCGCAGCGGGTTTCGAAGATGGAAAACGACAAACCTGAAAATGGAATTCCAACACGCCGGATTGAAACATGATGTTATTTGTTGCCCATGGCATGTTTCAGAGGAACGAAGGTCATGGGACTCTCGTGGATGCCTGTGGGCCGTGTTGGAGCGATCTCGAAAGCCTCCTGGGCCGTCTTGGGTTGTCCGAGTGCCAGACAGTCGAGAGCGATTGAATGGGAACAACATACAGATTTGCATCTTTGGAGTTTTCTTGGACCGTCTTGGGGGTGCCTTAGGCCGTCTTGAAAGGCCATCTTGGGCCGTCTCGGAGTTCTCTTGTGCCACCTTGAGGCCCTTGGAAACTATTTGGGAGCGCTCCCGAGCTTGCAGTGGAGGTCCAGCACCCCGCGCCCAGGAGTTCTGGCGTTCCTGATGGGACCTTGCTTGGGCAGGTTTCGTCTGGCTCCTCCTCCTCCTCCTCCTCCTCCTCCTCCACCTCCAGGTGGCCCACCTTTTTGCGAGAACACCTCACACGCCACCTCGCATGACCAGAGGAGTCTCATTCTCGCAAGGGCCCTGCGCCCCCGTGCAGCCATGGCGGCGGCGCGCCCGCGGTCAGAGGCGTCACCTGGGCTTCTCAGGATGGTCGGCTTCAACCCGTGTGCAGCGAACCGCATCTCCAGGCTCGCAGACATCGTCGCCGAGTACCCGTCACACGACATCATAGTTCTATGTGGCACGCAGCAGAAGAGCAGTGGCGACGTGATCGAGGATGAAGTGATCATTGACAATTTCAGAGGTTACAGGTTTGGCTACAAGAGAGGACCACGTGTGTCCCCATCGTGCGGCGCTACCATTCGTGTCAAGAAGAGTCGTTTCTACAAACACTCGGTCAAGCGCATCCTACCCGTGCCCAAGCAGTTGTGGGGTCGAGTTGGTTGCATTTTCATTCGCCAACAATACCAGACATACGGCACTATTGGCATCTATTTCCCACCCAAAGTTTCCAAGGCAGGGCAAAAGGACGGATATGAACAAAGCAGTTCAAGCGATTATCAAATGGTTACAAGAGACACTTGAACATCTGGATTCTCAACACGCCATTCCATTAATCTATACGGATCTCAACGGTGGCATTGCTCACTCTGAAACGGATCAAGTTGCTGGTGAGCATGGTATCGGCACCTCCCCTTCGTCGCGAGCCATTCGACCAGTACTCGAAGCGTGGGGGCTCACAGCAGCCAACACGTACTACCGCAACCTGGCCACGTTCATCGGAGAAAGAGGGGAAAGCCACATCGATCACATCATACTCCCCAGGTCCGTCATGCCCGCCGTCGAGAGTTGCATGGTGCACGCACGCACAGCCAGAAGACTACAGGTGCACCAGACTAATACACCCAGAGACCATCGTCCAGTCGTCCTTACAGCTATTCTTCAGTGTACAGCCGCGCCTCTTCCATCGCGACCCCCACGACCGAACCGAGAAGCCATGTATGAGTGTGTGCAGACGGGGCATCTTCGAAAGGAGTATATAAAGTGTTTGCATGCCAAGGTGGGGGAGGTGGAGGAGGAGTTTGAGAACATGCAGGCGGAGGGAAAAATCGACGATCTGAATAGGGTATTCATGCACGTTATGAATCAGGCGGCCATTGAAGTTTTTACTCAGTCGCCACTGCAGTCCGAGGAGCGCGTCAGTAGCGCGCAATTACTAGGTGCACTTCTAGAGCAGCGACGACGCCGCAGAGAGCTACTAGGCAAAGCAGTAGATCAAGTAGCATTCGAGGCCCAAGCCAAGGCCATCAAACATCTCAGTCGCCTGCTGCGGGACACAGCTCGAAAACATCACGATCGAGTACGTCAACGTCGCACATATGAATTACGAGTAGCACTATCTCAGCGCAACTACTACCTAGTACACAAGCTGAGCCGCGTGATAGCAGGCAAAGGCCGAGGAGCCCGCAAGAGACATTTTCGAGCTCTCCCTCAGTCTCAGGCGCGTGCTGCAGCATGGGCTACGCGCATGCATCTTCCAGCAGCTCAGGGCGGTTGCACGGCTACGGCATCTTCGCTAAACGAAATGCAATTCGAAATCGACCAGGAGAATCGACAACCCAGGGACGAACTCGAAGCCGTCGGACTCGCCATGGTTGACTTCGACTCGATGTCTCGATGCGCGTGGAAGCTTCGTTTCTGGAGAACCTGGCCCGAATGGTCGTGCCCCCCTGAGCTGCTTAGGTTATTGTTCCATCCTGCATGGATAAATGAACGACGCCCCAAGGAAAGAGCAGGTCTGGGATTGGAGCCAGTGGAAGTCAACAACAAGGGGGGGAACTTACTAAAGAAGTTGCTGTGGGCCTGTCGGCGCTGGAGGCGCACGCCGGTTGCATGGCACGCTGCTCAAGCTGCCCGTTCGCCCAAGACTGCCAAGCTTGACTGCGACGGCGAAAGAATCATCATGGTCATGCGCACGCTAGGACGAAACTATAATGCTGGAGCCCTCCGACGGAAGCCCTACCCCTGGAGCCCCCCCGATTGGGTTTACGGAGGCCTCAAACATCGTCGACGAGAAACCGCCATGATCATCCAGGCCATCAGTAGTTATCGCATGCAGAAAGGAGGAGTATCACACATCCTGCGGTGCCATGGTGCGACCTATGCGTTTTTTCCCTCGAGCACAAAGCTGTCTTAGCTGGAGCTGAAGATATCTAGCATGATCACGACTTAGAGTTTATTTCGGACCGCATCGCCAAGGGTGTTTTCAAGCTAGAGGACGAGTCTGGGTGCTTCTGGCTTCGACCTGGCTCAGGGGTCTTTCCTGGAGACACAGGAGCCACGCTGTTATTTGCGCGCGCGTTCTCGACGCCTGTTTTGCAGAGTACAGCCGGCCAGTTTGTCACGAACGGCTGGCACATTGCAGTCGAGGCCAGACTTCCCTGGGACCACGACGGCGTGGACACGAGGCAAGTCGCTCTCACTGGCTTCGTAGACGATATTGCCAACAAGGTATTGGAGGTGGGGGAAGGGTCAGCAGAAGATCAACTTGCAGCAGGATCACAAGCAGAAAATACAGCAATCAGCGCAGGCATGGGGGAGGTGGGAGCGACTCAGAATATCAGCAAGCAGGAAAACATCTTGTATCTCGTGGGCCAAGGAGCTCACAAACTTTCTCGGCGCCTTCACTCTGGCCTTCTTGCAGGGGTCGAAGGAGTATGTAAGCATCACGTACGCTACCTGGGAGGGCATTTGTCGTCGACTTTGTCACCGGTACCCGAGCTAGGTAAGCGCCAGAATGCGCTACGCGTCAGCTTCTACACTATGGGCAGTTTTTGGTACTCGAAGTCCCCCTGGAGGCTCAAGGTCAACATGGTCAAGGGGCTCCTAGTCAACAGCGCTCTCACGGGAATGGAAGTTTGGGCTAAATCCAATGAACCTCTTCTACCACGGGACCCCAGTGGGCTCGAAAGGTTCATCGTGGGCAAGTGTAGGGCCATTATTGAGGGTACGTGTGAGTGGAGTAGTGGGCACGCCAAGACCCTCAGCAGTCACGAAGTCTTCAAAAGGTTCGGGATGGTGCCTCTGTTTCTCGAACTCAGGCTTAGGAGATTGAAGTGGCATCAGGAGCTCTCGAAGGCCAAGGAGTTCCATGGGCAGTTTTGGGCAGCTATGTTAGGCACTATGGCAGTAGATGGCGAGGTCTTAGTTGATGGTCGAGTCCCTGCGTCTGGGCATCTTTGGGCTCAGCAGATGCAGCAGGACATCGATTTCCTCGCGTGCACAGAGTCAGGCGAGGACCTGCTTCTCGATGCAGACAATCGCATCGACAAGATTTTTTTCGATCCCGACACGTCTGAGCAGTTTCAGCGCTTGGACATCAGCGAGCTACGCGCTGTGTTTCTTTGTCGTACCGCCACCAGCGCGGCAATGCAGACGGGGCCAGACACAGAGGACACATTGTTCTATTGTCGGGAGTTCTTGGAGCACAGGTCAAGGTGTCGGACAAAATGGCCTTCGCACAAACAGCTCATTGCACGTATTGCGTCTACACAGGGAGGTGCACATGGTCGTCTTCACACAGCTCGGATATGCACCCCCTCGAATGAATGCATTTTATGTGGAAGCGTATTTCGAGAGCCCGTCGTCGCCAAACAGCACACGAAAAGAAGTCTCGTTCGGCAATTCTGTCCTTATGGTCGAGGTCGATATGAACAAACGGTGAACGAATACAAAAACACGAAATGCCAAGTACGCCTCGAAGAGTCCGACGCCGTAGCCGATTTTGTCGAGCACTTGTTTCAGCACCTTTCCGAGTACCTCAGTCCGTCTTTCTACGTGAGACTTGATGGCGGACGCCGCGTCCTCCCTGGTGAGACCACGAGGCAAGAGTTTCTCCTACGTCTCAGGCGGCAAGCCGAAGAAGATCGCGAAGCACGCGAGTCAGGAGGGCGACGAGAACATGGACGAGGAGGAGACCCCCCACAAGAATCAGCTCAGGGACGACCTGCTGATCCAGCTCGAGACCCGCGCGCGGGCGCTCGAACACGCCGCCTTCAGCACCGCCGTCATTCCCAGGAAGTCGGTGGCAATAGAAGCGATGAACAACTCGTTCCAGGACTACCTCAAAGCAGTGAAAGAGAACCCAGACAAGCAGCTCGCAGGGCCCGCATCCCAAGCCCTTTTCGCTCTTCTGACCGCTATAGAAGTCTTCGAGCACAAGGATACTTCGCCAAGGATGATCAAGGTCTTACACGCCTGAAAAAGGCTGTCGCCCATGATGGAGAAGAGCGGGCCAGAGCTGATGTGCAGCTGGGTGAAGGAGCTGGTAGCTCTGCCGACGTTCGATCGTCCAGGAGCCGAGCCCAAGAGTCGCCTTACGTTCTCGCTCAAAGGGTCGTTGCTTCTTCCTCGCGAAGACGCCACAGCAGCGAGCATGCTCACGGAGCTCCAGAACTACGACGCCGCGAAGAGCACGGTCATGATCAGCCCGCTGGAGACCCCGATGGAGCTGTTTCACGTGCCAGGCCTGTGGCTCCCCACCGAGCAGATAGTCTGCGAGGCGCTGAGGAGCATGGGCGGAGAGATCAAGATGAATAGAGCCCCCAGGGGCAACCTGAGTCGCCAGCTCGGAGGCGGCAAAGGCAGGGGCAAGAAATCTACAAAGTGAATGACGCCTGCCGCGGCCGTGCTCCCGTGCTGGACCCCACAGAGTGGTCATCAGCCTGCTGCCTTTCTCGCTGGTCCTGTGTGTGCCTCTCTTCTGTGTTTCTTCTCTCGGAGTTTAGGCCTCAGAGCTCAGCCTTCAGCTGCTCCGTGGTTGAGCGCTTGCGCCTCCATGGGAGTCACTTGGAGGCAGAGGTGCTGGTGTTCAATGTCCGTGGGTGTCTCTTCCAGCGCGTAGCAGGTCAGCAGCATGGTTGCCGAAAGGCGAAATGTCGAAAGGGTGGCGAACAAAGAATTGTCGACCCAGCCCGAGCCAGCGTTTTTTTCAACCAGTCACGAACGGTCTTGAGGGGCTTGAGAACTGAACTGAACTCCTCCTCCTCCTCCTCCTCCTCCTCCTCCCTCCTCTCTCCTCCCTCCTCCCTCCTCCCTCCTCTCCCTCCTTCTCCTCCTCCTGCTCCTCCTCCTCCTCCTCCTCCAGGGCCGCGACGCGCGTGCGAGCCAGATTCACAGCCTCTTTACGGGAGCGTCCGGGGCGCCAGTGGCCCGTTGGCCTGGCGAGTGGAAGTTGGGATCTGCACGACTTCGTTGATGTACATTCGCATGTGGCTCTGCGACAGGTTCTACCTATTCGTCAACGCCTGTAGCGTCGACGTTGCAGTGCAATGCGCATCCCGTTCTGCACAATCGTTACATACGCGTCGCTATTGTTCACGCAGGCGTCACATTGCAGCTGGTCCTCGGACAGTTACGGCACCTTTCAGTCAATCACGTCTGCAACATAGTTTGTGTACGTACCATTTCCGCCACTGCGTGTCCAGAGGCGTGTCCGACAGTGCTTGAAAGGAAAGGGCCCGACCAACGCGTCATTGGAAGAGCCGCGGCGTAATTCAGTAGCGTTTTCGGTGTGGCGCCAAGAGATCATGCTGCGCTTCGGCAGGCGACGGCGGAGAAGCAGCGCGCCACGGCGGCGGAGCTGGCGGCGCAGGCGGAGGAGGCGCGCGCCAAGGCCGCGGAGGACACGATGGGCGGGGTGAGCGCAGTCAACCCGCATAGTAAGGATGAACGATTTCCGAAGGTTGCCCTTAAGCATCCTCCCCCTGCGGCCCATCGTTGGCCGCTTTCGCTGGCCGCGCCCCGCTCGCAACGTGTCCACATGGCCTTTCAAGACCCTTGCATCCTTATCGCGCGTCCTTCTTTCTACGGGTTGACTGTGCCAGCTTCAGTGAGCTAGTTTGGGGTCGGCTTTTGGGGCCGGACAGCCTCGTCGCCCCCTTCTCGGCGGCGCGCCCAGGGAGGCAGTGAGAGGGGGCAGGCCTTTTCGGAGGGTGGCGGAGCCTCTCAGAAGCCCCCCCGCTTTCAGAGAAGCCGTCTCTGTCTTCGGAGCAGGTCTGGGACATGTTTCAGAAGGCCGGAGGCCTGCCGAGCCTTCCGAGGGGGCCAGGCCCCTCCGCGTGTTCCCCCGTGGGATCGCCGCCGACCTTCCTCGGCCTCCATTCCCAAAAGTGGGCAGTGCAGATGGAGGGGTGCCGCGGGTCCCCAGACGCCCTTGGCGTCGTCGCCCCTCCCAGCGCTCCATCGCAGCCCGTTGTCGTGGCTCGGTGCTCGGACAGAGGAGCTCGATGCCGGCGCCGGCGCCGACGTCTTCGCCCGCACGCCTTCTCGACCGTGACCCGACGATGGCGAGGAGGAGGAGAAGGAAGAGGAGGAGGCGGCGGCGGCGGCGGTGCGGTGTCGGGCCGAAGTCGAGCGACAGCGATCCAGCCACAACTCGAGACCGAGGCCTCGACCGTGTACGACCTGCCGTGGGTGGCAAGAGGGCGTCGGGTGAAAGATGGCCCCCACCGCGAGGAGGAGAATCGGCACCTCCCAAGCACAGTTACAGGACTCGTTTCGATCCCTCCGATTCGGTTCGATTCGATTTCGATGGCTTCCGATTTCGATTCGACTTCGGATTCCGATTTGGGCTCCGATTTGTCACTGGACGCATACGAGCCTGCCGATTTCCGCCGATTCGACTGCTCCCGACTGGGCTGCCGATTTCCGCCGGTCCGATTCGTTTCGGCCGCCGATCCGACGTATCGATTCGATTCTGGGCACTCCTGCAGTTATGCTGTGGGTGCGTTGGCCACGCGAGGGTGACGCGCACGCTCGGGCATCTTCTAGTACACGCTCCCTGGCGGGCGCGTTCTGGCCATGCTGCCTCGGGAAACGGTGTATACTGCAAGACTTTGTGCTACACGATCGGGTCGGGCGCGCGTCTCCAACAGAGGCACAAAGTAGTGTGTCCTCATGCGTCCAAAAGCATCGGTGATCCGAAGCAGCATGCACGTAAAGTTTCGGAGCTCCGCGCGGATGTCTCGGACCTTCCTGGGCACCCGCTCCCAAGCGCGCGGAGCGCGCCGGGGGCGGAGGCGCCGCCAAGGGTCCCTTGCGCGGATCGAAGAAATCCGCGCGGAGTTCCGACAGTTTTTGTTTGTAGAGTCTCTTGTTGTTCAAAAGCGGAGGGGGTAAAAAGACGAGGATGAATCCGTTCCAGAGCGTTCCGGAACTCTCTCAGAGCTTTCCCGAACGCGCTGAGAAGGCCGTGGCGCCCAAGACATCTTCCTGAGCCGCGGGATCTAAGAGATTCTCGATTCATCCTTCGCCCTGACGTCGTTTTAGGAAGCGGCGCGCCTGGCACCCGCAGGAAGCCTTGGCGGCGCGACTGGAGGAGAGGGTGCACGCGGAGAACGTCCGCGCGGTGGCCGCCGAGGGAGCTCTCGCGGCGCAGTTGCAGGAAGTGGCGGAGGCCCCTTTCTTCTCCTCCTCCTCCTCCTCCTCCTCCTCCTCCTCCTCCTCCCTCCCTCCCTCCCTCCCTCCCTCCCTTCCCTCCCTCCCTCCCTCCCTCCCTCATCCTCCTCCTCCTCCTTCTCCTCCCTCTCCTCCTCCTGCCACTCCTCCTCCCTCTCATCCTGCTGCTTCTGCTCCTTTTCCTCCTCCTCTTCCTCCTCCTCCTCCTCCTCCTCCTCTACCATCCCTTTTCACTATTAGTAACTTCTCCCTGGCGCATCCCGAGGCCAGTTTTTCTGGCGGTCCAGGCCTTTCGCTTGAGACTTCGTCACCACGTATGACCCTGAAGCTTAGAAATTGCCAACAGTTTCACACATGGAGGGCGGTCGTTCTCAAAATGTGGCTCTCGCCTCGGCGCCGCGCACATTCGTTTCAAAACATTGCATCATGTTCACGGATTGAGGGCGTGTGGTGTTCAAAATGTGGCTCTCGTCTAAGCGCCACGCAGATTTGTTTTGAACATTTGCCAGAGTTCTACCGATTGAGGGCGAGTGGCTTTCAAATTGTAGCTCTCGCCTCAGACCCGCGCACATTCTTTGTTTGAGAATTTGCGAGAGTTTCACACATTGAGGGCGGTTATTTTCCAAAATGTGGTTACCGCTGTAGCGCCGCCCAAATTCGTTTTAAACATTCAAAAGGGTTTCACGGTTTTGGTGTTTAGGATGGATTCCAAACTACGAGGGTGCAATCGTTATACATGTTGATTCGCGAAGTTGAAGTCCCAGGAATGGCTGTCTGGCACCATTCAGGATCTCCAAGACTCAATAATCAAGTTGATCCGTGGCGTTGGAATCCCGAGAAAAGTGTTTTGGCATGGTTCAGGGTCTTCAAACGGTTGCTCGGGCCTATGAAGAGGGAGCTTGGAGGGAGGGTTTATTCCAACATCGTTGATGACTCTTGGGATTACACTGGTCCTCCGCCTGCTCCTCTTCCTCCTCCTCTTCCTCCTCCTCCTCCTCCTCCTCCTCTCCTTCCTCCTCCTCCTCCGCCTCCGCCTCCTCTTCCTCCTCCTCCTCCTCCTTCTCCTCCTCCTCCTCTCCCCCGCGGCCCCGGGGGGGCGGGAGCATCTGCGGGAGACGGCCTGGGCTCGGGAGCGGACCAGAGTCGGGGAAACGCCGAACATGGATTAGCCATGAGATCCTGACGTTTCTTTGTTGTTCCGAGCTGGGCAGCTTCTCCTTTTTGCGGGCCCAGGCACCCTCACAGCTCGAGAAATTTTGACTTCACGTGAGAGTGACCCTGCGCCGGAGTGACCTTTGATGCGGGCCCATTGGGCCCCCCCGATCGCCGAATGCGCTGCGATAGCAGCGGCCTGCGCGCTTGTGTGTTGGTCCCCCCGCGGCCCCCAAATAGCCGCTCACCAAAGGTCACTCTTACCCAGGGCCGTTTTTGCGTGCGTGCATTCGAGAACGGCGCAACAGAAAGACGAGGTCTACAGTGGAGGCCCCTGCCAGGAAGCACCCTGCCTGCCTCCACCGTAGGGCTCCACTGCAGGCCCCGGGCGTGCCTGTCTGCGAGGTTGCCAGTGGTTCGCTGCGTCGGGCCTCAGGGGAGGAGGCGTGTGGCTCAGCGGCGAGTTCCAAGCAAGATTTGCGCGCGCAGTCGCCACACGAGGCGGCAGTGGCATCATCCGTCGGGGGCACACTCCCCGATCCGCGGACCTGGCGGCCGCGCGCCAGATCCGCGCATCCCTGAACCATGTTGGCGTGCGCCCGGCAAGGTGGGGGGACGACAAAGAGAGGGTGTATTTCACGGCGGGGGCCGCGAATGAGATCTCCCCAGATCTCGTGGCCCCCTCGTCGCCTTCTTATTATTCTTCTTATGCTTCTTCAACTTCTTTTTATTATTTTTCTTCTTATTATTCGTCTTCTTCTTCTTATGATTATTCTTATGATTAGTATGATTATTTGTCTTAGTGTTCTTATTATGCTTCTTTTTATTCGTCTTATGATGGTGATCATCAGTACGATTCGTCTAATCATTTGTTTATCATTATGGTTTGGTGTCTTCTTCTTCTTCCTCTTCTTCTGCTTCTCCTCCCCATACGTCCCCAGCAGGTTTCAGCAGCCGCGAATGAGGCCAGGGGCCCCTGCAGCGCTCGCCCACGACTTCGCTGGGAGCAGCCGCGGGAGAACGCCTGGGGCCGCGCCAGTCGCTCTGCGGTAGGCCCACGCGGCGATGGCGCGCCAGCGACGCCGGCGGAGGCGTTCAAGGTTGAATTCCACATTAGTCAGGAGGAAAAGAAACACACAGACACAGTCAATCTTCGATCCCCCAGAAAATATGGGAAAACATGGGAAGTGGGCGGGAAGACAGAAGCCTAGAAAATATTGGAAAATATGGGGGATATGTTATTTGTGTGTATTTTGACGCAGGAGCACCGGGAGTTCTGTTGGGCCTCGTGGCGTTACCCTGTCCCCCGGTGCTCCTGCGTCGTTCTTGGGGGAACGAAAAGTGGCAGAAACATAAAAACTCGGAGGTCCGCGCGGATTTCTCGGATCGGCGCTGGGGCCCCCCGGCGGCGCCTCCGGCTCCGCCCCTGGCGCGCTCCGCGCAGAACGACGCAGGAGCACCGGGGGACAGGGTAACGCCACAAGGCCCAACAGAACTCAGCCTCGAAATCGGGGTCGCGATCGGTTCAAGGTTGAACGATCGACGCGGTGTCAAAAACCTTTGCGCGCGCCGCCGCCGCACGAATCTGCCATAGGCCTCCCAGATGGGGTCGGAGTCGATGGGGTCGGGGGATCGCGCCGCATGGCCGATGCACCAGGGATGCGGCGCGATGTGGAGCCCGAATTTCTCCACGCTGACGTCGCCGCTGCATCACCGACGTCGCCGATGTATCGCCGATGCATCGGCATGCACCACCGATGCATCACCGATGCGGCGATGTCTTCCGATCCCATCTGCTCCGACCCCATCCGGGAGGCCTTTAGCCGCGCAAAGGTCAGGGGCAACGCTAGGGGGAGAAGATCGGGGGTGGACAGAACCCCCAACAGTGACACGTCGATTAGTGAATTGTCCGTTTTCGGTTCTCGAGAGGGCGCCGTGGCAGTTATTTTCCAGGCTTGCGCCCGCCAGGTTTGGGCCTCAGGTCGTTTTCACTAAACCACGTTTTACTAAAGGGGGGTCTGTCCATCCCCGAGAAGAGTGGTTTCGGGTTCGAGGTTCGAGGTTTTGGGATGTTGCCGTCGGTTCTCGGCGGCCTTCCAGCCTCGGAGTGCCTTCCAGCCGCTGCGCCTCTCCGGAAGCGATCCCGGGGTGCCCAGATGGTTCCAAACGGCCGCCAGAGGGCGCATCCACAGCCCGAAAATCGGCGGCGAGCGAGGGGGAGAAGTGAGAAGGAGAAGGCCTCCTCAGAAGGCGGCGGGACTTTTCAGAAGCCCTCGCGCCTTCTGAGAAGTTGCTTCCGAGCCTTCCGAGAAGGCACGCCCCTTCTCACGTCCCCCCCTGGCTCGCCGCCTAGAAAAGTTCGGGGGCAAGGCCCTCCTCCTCCTCCTCCTCCTCCTCCTCCTCCTCCTCCTCCTCCTCCTCCTCCTCCTCCTCATCCCGAACCTCCGACGATAGCGGGCCCGCTCCTGGGCCCCGGGGGCCTCCGAAGTGGGCACCGGGGGCGAACCGCCTGGCCCCAGGAGGCAGGGGTAAAACGACGCGAAGATCGGGACAAAATCGGATCGGGATAGCTCGAGATCTCTGAGAATCGGCGGGTTTGGAGGATGGGTTGGGCGCCGCGGCCGCTCCAGAGCGTTCCGGAACGCTCTGAGAGCGCTCCGGAACGCTCTGGAGCGATTTATCCCGATCCTAGCCCTGTTTTGCCCCCCCCCCAGTTATCGTTGTCCGTCACGGGGGCGGAGGCGGCGGATGGAAGCGTCACAGGAGGTCACCTGACGTCGGAGCAGAAACAGGTGCAGGTACATAGGCACGAGAGCCTCCGCTCAGAGTCATGGGGTCTGCGCTGGGGCCCCCACTGGCTCGCCCACAGCGCCGCCTTGGCGCGCTCGGGAGGCCAGGGCCGATCCGAGAAATCCGCGCAGCGCTCCGAGAGTTGACGTGCATGCCGGTGCTTGGTCCTCCAATCACCTCACGGTCAGCTGTACAAAGCCAGTAATCGGCGCTCCCATGTGGATGAGATGTTGTACAGTCGGGGCCCTGAAGAAGGAACCCTGTTCGTTGGGGAGGGGCTCAGTGTTCCTTGATTGTTTTACAGTTTGACTTGGGTTTTCCTTAGGTGTTCAATGGTAAATCTAAGTCAAACTTCTGGGAAAAAGGGGCCTCGTTCCTTATTTGGGGTTCCTTGGGTCAACGCCCCGACTGTACAGCAGCCGCCGTCGCGGTGTGTGCAGTCGCCTTGAAGCCACACGTGAGGCAGTCAGGTCCATTCACGCGCTGGTCAGACTGCATCGCTGCAGCCGCCTGCGGCACGGCCACCTCACAGCCCCCTGGTCGGCGGCAGGCTCGCGTTTGGCTCCGTCGCGTTGCGGTCACGTGTGGGCCAATCGGATCTGGAAGATTCCAGCACGTGGTAGTCGGCGGCGAGCGGGAGGGATAAAAAGAAGGAAAAGGCCTCCTCAGAAGGCGAGGGGGCGTAGCTTCTCAGAAGGCCCCTGGCTGTCTGAGAGGTCTTCTGCGCCTTCGGGACAGGCGTCGCAGTCTGCTCCGAAAAACGGAGGGAACCTCCGAGCCTTCTGTCGGCGGCGAGCGAAGGGGGGGAAGTGGGACGGAGAAGGCCTTCTCTCAGAAGGCGGCGGGGCGTTTCAGAAGCCCCCGCGCCTTCCAAGCAGTTGCTCTGCGTCTCCGGGGAAGGCTTCGCCTCCTCCTCCTCCTCCTCCTCCTCCTCCTCCTCCTCCTCCTCCTCCTCTCCTCCTCCTCCTCCTCCTCTCCTCCTCCTCCTCCTCCTCCTCGTCCTGTTCCCAGAGGGCTGGGGCACTGCCGAGGCTGCCGAGGGGCGGCCCGCCTTGTCGCACGTGCCCCCTCCCCCGCGGGCGGAACGCCGACACGGCCGAGCTCGGCGCAGGAGTGGCGCGGCGAAGCGCACGGCAGCAGCGCACGTGGGCACGGAGCGAGCGGCGGGGGCGGGAGGCCCATTGGGCAGGGTTTTTTCCTCCTCCTTCTCCTCCTTCTCCTCCTTCTCCTCCTCCTCCTCCTCTTTCTCCTCCTCCTCCCTCCTCCTCCTCCTCTCTCCTCCTCCTCTCCTCCTCCTCCTTCCCCCTTCCTCCTCCTACTCCTCCTCCTCCTCCTTCCCCTCCTCCTCTTACTCCTCCTTTCTGCGTTAAACCAACCTGCGCAAGAAGCTGTGGCGTTCGTCCTCCTCCTCCTCCTCCTGCTCCTGCTCCTGCTCGTGCTCCTCCTCCTCCTCCTCCTCCTCCTTCTCCTCATCCTCCTCCTCTTCCTCCTCTTCCTCCTCGTCCTCCTCCTCCCTCTCCTCCTCATCCCTCCTCCTGCTCCTCCTGCTGCTCCTCCGCCTCCTCCTCGTCATCCTTCTCCCCCTCCTTGTGGTTTCCAAAAGAGTTCCCGCGAGGTTTCTGCAGGATTCAGATTCGAAGGGTCCAGGAGAGTCCCAGGAAAGCCTCCCAGGGAAGTCCCCCCAATAAAGTTCTCCCAGGAGGTTTCGCCGTGCCAGAGCGGCCCTAGGAAAGTTCCCCGAGAAAGTCCCCCCAGGTCAACACCTCTGATTTTACACCCGGCTTTGAGGACAAACATTGTCGCCGTTTCGTTTTCAACAGCGTCCAAAACGGCACTGGAGGCCCCCAAGGTCCTCCCGAGACGGCCCTGCGCGACGCCGCGAGGGACCCAAGCTGGCCCCCAGAGTGCACTGGGGGGCCATGACAAGACACACCCTCCGTTTCGTCAGGGTTCCCTGGTTTTTTTTTTCGGCTGGCGTTCGGCGCGGAAGGTCGCCGCATGTTCGACGAAACTGCAGATGGCAGGGCCAGGGCACCCTGGGTCTCTTCGGCGTCGGTCAGTAGTCTCGGGGCGCGCGCCGCACCTCCAAGACACTGTTGGGCAGCCGCGGGCTTCTTCGCCCGCCACTCGAATTGTTCGCCCGTCGTCTTGGCATCGCTCGGACGTGTGCTTTTTTTTTTTCTTCGGCGAGGACCCTCGAGGAGCATCCTTGATCATGTGGCGAAACAACCACGCACGAAGCAGAAAAAAAACACAGGGAATGGACGTCCGAGCGATGGCCAGTCGTTGCCCATCCACCCGCGGGGGTTCGCCAGTTTGTCAAGTGGGCGCTGGCGCATTTCGGGGCGCATGCCCGAAAGTCGGTGCATTCCGGGGCGCAGTTCTTGATATCGAATTGCTCGACGCCACCAGTCAAGAAGCCGCTCGGGTCAGGGTGCCCTGGGATTGCTTCGTCTGCAGCCAAAGGCAAGAAGCCCAACCCTGGACCAAGAAACCTCAGCGGAATTCAGGTTTGGGTTTCTTGCAGTGGGTGTCTTGGGGATCGAGCCCCATTGTGTCCCAAAGCGGCCCAAGATGGCCCCATGACGGCCTCCGTGTCCATGTTGGTTTCAAGAGTATTGTTACTCAAGGTCTGATGTAGTCATCACTCCTGCGGGCCTGAGCTCAGAAAGTGCATCCCAACGATGGCCCTTCCAATGAAGGCTTCGGTCATGACGAGCGCTATGACGGGCACTATGAAGTCAACGAAGGCCAAGCGCACCAGCAAGATCGCCAAGAGCAAGCTTGGGCGTGAATAGGTGCTGCGGGGAACTAAAGGGAAAGTGGCCTCGGGCCTCACAGCGGACAGGCGGAACTAAGGGGAACATGGCCTCGGGCCTCAAAGCGGACAAGCTCTTCAAGAACCAGCGTGGGAAGATCGTTTCGAAGAAGTCTTCCGCAGCCTGGAAGAAAATACACAGCGCTACCAAGATGCGGACCGAGAGCGTCGCTGCGGCCAGGAAGGCCTTGGACCTTGAAGCATTCGTTGCCGTTACCAGGCCGAAGCCGGAGGGGAAGGCCCTCTAGGTCAAGGCGAAGGCAGTCTACGCCTCCCGCGGGCGAGCCGTGGCAACATCCCCTATGTTTCGTCTTCATCTTCCTTCCCCAGTGCACCGCCAGGTTCGCGTGCGTTCGCGATCATTCATGACGCGTCGATCACCGTTCGCAGAACCGTGGGGCCTGTGAACAAAAGAGTGTCAACTGCACTTTATCAGCGCGGTCTGCCCGCTGGGGAGCAAAACTGGACCTTCTTGGCGGGGTCGTGGGACCTTCTCGCGACGTCTCGGGGGCATCTCGGGGCCGCGACCATTTTGAGGCCCCGTGGACTTCGGACCGTCCGCGGAGGCCTCGCGGGCCCTCCGCGGCGCTTGGCATGGGCCTGCCCCCGCAGCATCCTGCGCGTTCGTTGTCGGTTGCGTGTTCTTGTCTCTCTCTCTCTCTCTCTCTCTCCTTTTTCCCTCTCTCGCTCTCTCTCTCTCTCACTCTATCTTTCTCTTTCTGCGTTTCTCTCTATCTCTCTATGTTCCTTCTCTCTCTATGTAAATTGTTTAGGTATCTCTCTCTCTCTCTCGTTATTCCTATATGTATCGGTTGCGTTCTCTTTCTCTTTCTCGTTCTCTCTCTCTCTCTCTCTCTCTCTCGCTATCTCTCTCTCTCTCTCTCTCTAGAGATCCCTCTCTCATGTTATGTAGGTATTCGTATATATTGGCGTCTCTCTCTCTCTCTCTTTGTTTGTCTCTCTCTCTCTCTCTCGCTAGATATTTCTCTCTCGCGTTCTCTCACACTCCCTGTCTCTCTGTCTCTCTGTCTCTCTCTCTCTCTCTCTCTCTCTCTGTTTCTCTCTCTCTCTCTCTCTCTCTCTCTCTCTCTCTCTTCCTCTATATTACTATGTCTCCCTCTCTGTTCCTTTTCTCTCTCTCTCTCTCTCTTTCGCGTTCTCTCTCCCTCACTCTCTCCCTCTTCATCTCCCTGTGGATTGGTTTCTATCTGGCTTTCTCTCTCTCTCTCTCTCTTTCTCTCTCTCTCTCTGTCTCTCTCTCTCTCTCTCTTCCGTTCTCTCTCTCTCTCTCTCGCTCTCTCTCTCTCTCGTGTTATTGATATGTTATGTTCGTCGATTCGCACTTTCTCTTTTTCTCCCTTTCTATATTTCTCTCGCTCTCTCTCGCTCTCTCTCTCTCTCGTTATGTCTCTCTCTTTCTCTCTCGTCTGATATTTCTCTGTCTTTCTCTCTCTCTCTCTCGTGTTGTTTGTTAGATTCCTCTCTCTCTCTCTCTCGTTATCTCCTTGTACTTCTTTCATTATCTCTCTCTCCATCTCTCTTGTTGTTTATCTAGTTATATCTCGCTCTCTCTCTCTCTCTTTCTATATCGTTTTCTCTTGCTCTCTCTCTCTCTCTCCCTCTCTTTTTCTCTCTCTCTCTCTCTCTCTCTCTCTATATATATATATCCCTGTCTCTTTCTCTATCTCTCCCTCTTCCTCCCTCTGTCTCTATATTTCTCTCTCTCTCTCTCGCTCTCGCTATGCCTCTCTCTCTCGCTCTCGCTCTCTCTCTCTATCTCTCTCTCTCTCTCTCTCTCTGTCTCTCCGTGCGTGTATACATACACACACATATCTATCTCCCTCTCGCCCCTGCCCCTCCCCCTCCAGGCCCGACCACAGAGCCGGCGGGAACTCGGCGTCCCCTTCACCGTCGCCCGTTCACCCCGCCCCCCGCCGTGTCCATTCAGTTCCCTAGACTCCATCCACCCTCCCGCTCCCCCCCCCCCCCACCCACCTCCTCCCCGCCTCGGGGGAGGGCGGGTGGAGGAGGGGGAGGCGGTGGGGAACGAAGGAGGAGGAGGAGGAGGAGGAGGAGGAGGAGGAGGAGGAAGCAGGATTGTGACGCGACAAGTTCAGCTCTTGGTGTCTGATTGACGTCAAAAACAACAGGAAGCGGTACGTCGAGAAGGGCGAGGGGGAGGGACAGGAGGAGGAGCCCCGCCCTTTTCCCCGGCCGGCCCGGCCAGCGGCCACCAGAAACGGGCGAGCGAGTGCTCGGCCTTCCCGCCAGGCGAGCACCGAGCGCGCCAAGGCCGTGGAGGACAGGCGGCACCGGCCAGGGGGCCGGCCGCAGCGCTGTGTCCCGTCGGGCTTCGCCCCACGTCGCCGTCCAATCGGGGGCGGAAAAGAGGGGGGTGATGACTAGGGGGGGGTGAATATTATGGCGGGGGCCATGATATTTCCCCAGATTTTATAGCGCCTCTTCTTATTGCATTACGTCCCTGCCCCCCCCGCTGGGCCGCGCACATGCCGCCGGTCATGATTTGCACCCCCCCCTCTTGGACACCCCCCTCTTGGCCGCTCCCGATCCAACCCCGCGTCGTTGTTTCTTCGTGCGTGGGGTGATCCGGGCTGGCCGCGTCACGGAGTGCATCTTGCAGTGCATCTTTTCGGCCACCCGCAGAGGGGGGTAGGGGGAGGGGAAAAGGCTCCTCAGAAGCACCCTGCTTCTCAGAAAACACGCGTAGATGTTGGGCCGGTGCCCTCTAAGAAGCAGCGTCCTTCTGAGAAGATTTTTCCCTCCTCGCCCTACCACAGTCGTAAAGTTCACGAGAAGAATATGTCGGAACAAACGCCTGAAGACATCCAGGCTGGTCGCGTCACGGAATGCAGGGCTCATTTCGATTCTTCCGATTCGACTTTACCCGATGTCGATTGATTCTGATTCTGGTCCGATTCGGCGTGGGATTCCGGTTTGGAGTCCGAGATCTCAATGGAGGTTTGATTGGTTTGCTGATTTGTGCCGATTCGATTCATCGTGATGACTGTTTGTTCTGTCGATGGTCGCCGAATCGATTCATTTCGACCGCCGATACGACTTATGGGTTTCAATCTTGACTCGCCTGCCGAATGCACCTTGCAGTGCCTTTTTAGAACGGCATGGGAAATCATACGCTTGACGAGAAGAGGATGTTGGAACAGACACCTGAAGATTTCCAGATGGGGCGCGTCACGGAATATTCTCGGCAGGGCCCCGTTTGGAGCGGCACGGTTGGACAACATCGTGAGACGGTTTCAATATGAGAACCGTCGCCGTCCTCAGACCCCCTCCGTGCGTCGTTGGAAGAATCACGACGGCTGGTGTTTGGCTATTTTCTCCCTTTCGTCGAGGAATCGGAAACGTGGGTCAAGGCGCGTGGATTCGCGGCGGGGCCCGTTTCCATGCGAAATCGGCGCGCTCCGTCGCAAAATGAGGTAGCGTTGGCTCCATGTTACGGGTGGCACGTTCCCATGTTAGCGCGTCGTCCTCGATTTGGGATGCCTTTACTGGGCCTCGGGGCAGTCACAAACGATTCAATTTGAAACGCCGGTCCCCTGAAGAGGGTCCGAGCCCCTGGGGGTCCACGCTAGGAAAAACCGCTGCGTCGGGGGGGGGGGGGCCGGCCCCTTCATCGCGCCATTCTTCGCTGTTCTGCTTCGCCCTGCCTCCAGTTCCGCCTCGCCCTCGTCGCGGTTGTTTCGTTCGCTCGGCCTTGTGTTCTTGCCTCGCTCTCGTCGTGTTGTGGTTCGCACTCGCCGCTCGGAGCCAGAGCACGTAAGGGACGGAATTTCCAAGGAGTTTGCCGCTGGCTTTCCTGCTTGAGCAGGCGCAAGCGTCAGTAGAAATCATGATCGTTCATCCCCCTCCCGCTCCCCATCCCGCCACCTTCCATGTGCAACTTCAAGATGGGGACCAAACCGTGTGGTGAGTTTCTGAGGACTTGGGGGTCACCGCGCGATTTTGGGACTCGGGTCGTTCTCGGACGATTGGGTTCCCCAGGGCTCCAAAACCGTGTGGTGACGCACCTAGAGGTGAGGTCGCCGAGGATTCCGAGGACTCCACACGGTCCGCCGCCACGTCCCAGATCCCCCACGTCATGATTTGTTCGCACCGTCGTCCCAAAAGGGTCTCGACCCATTCCCCGAGACCGGTTTTTCATCCTGAATCGTTTTTTGTTGACGGTTCCGGGGCAGGGTACAAGCGGTGTTGATTGGACAGGACATGTCCGAGGGCCACATTGCCATAGGAACGTAGGAGGCATTGGGCGCAAGACACAGGACACGAGGGTACCCTTGATCTGGCAGGGTCGACCTACCAATCCCGGCCGCCTGCAAGGTTCCCCAGAGGCCGAGAATAATTAGCCAAAAAATTGCCCAGAGTGATTTTTCCACGACTCGAGGGGAGGCGGAGGAGGAGGAGGAGGAAAGTGAGGAGGAGGAGGAGGGGGAGGAGGAGGAGGAGGAGGAAAGTGAGGAGGAGGAGGCGGAGGAGGCCACCACACGGTCTTGGCCCCCAAACAGGTCTTCAGCTTTGCTCTGTTTGGTCTCGAAGTTGCCGTGCGCGCGGGCGCCCGGATCTCGGGAGGGGCGTCGAGGCGCGGAAGCCGAGGGGATTGGCGCTGCGGGGGAGCGGCAGGGTGCCAGAGCCACAGCGCACACCGGAAAGTCACGATTAACTGACTGACTGGCAGGCCATAAGCCTTAGCATCACTCGAACGTGTGCATTTTTTTCTCTGCGAGGACCAGCGAGGAGCATTTTGCTCACCTTGGGGGGGGGAAATGATACCGGAGAAAACCCCAATCATAATCTTTTTAGGGCTGTAGGGCTATATGGGCTCTTGGGCGCTACATGGGCTATTGGGCTAGATGGCTATATGGGCTACAGGGCTATAGGGCACCCCCGGGCACGCCCGGGCACCCGGGCACCCCTGGGCACCCGGGCGCCCGGGCGTGCGGCGAAAATCGGCGGCAGACCTAACCTAACCATATGAATCCGCTAGGACCCCTACAGGGCAAGCTCTGATTGGGGAAAAACACGCACGAAACCGAAACATGCACAGGGAATGGACGTCCGAGCGATGGCGAGAGGCGGTGCGTGGGCATGAGCGCTGGTTAGCAGGCTGCAAACTGGCCCACAGCACTCGGCACCCTCCTCCTCCTCCTCCTCCTCCTCCTCCTCCTCCTCCTCCTCCTCCTCCTCCTCCTCCTCCTCCTCCTCCTCCTCCTCCTCCTCCTCCTCTCCGTCCCAGCGTGACCTGCTGTCGCGCCGTTCCAGCTGGCGGTGCCTATGGACGGCCCCCCAGCGTTGGCGGAGTGCAGTTCTCACTAATTAGGTCATGATCGTGGGGGAGGAAGTGGAGGAGGAGGAGGAGGAGAAGGAGGAGGAGGAGGAGGAGGAGGAGGGGGAGGAGGAGGGGGAGGAGGAGGAGGAGGAGGGGGAGGAGGAGGAGGAGGAGGAGGAGGATCGAAGAAGGAACAAGAATTGCATAAACAAAAGAACATCCGGCGGTCCGCGCAGATGTCCTGGAGTCTCGCGGGCCCCCCCTGGCCGCGGCGCCGCCACCGCCCCCTGGCGCGCTCCGCGCGCCAGGGATAGGGGGCTCGAGCGCGGATCCAAGAAATCCGTGCGGACCGTCGAAAGTTTAGATGATTGTGTTGTAAGTTCTTCCTCTGGGGGAGGAGGAAGAGATGCGTGAGAAGTGAGGAACGAACGGCAGGGGACAAGTGCCAATGCTTTGATTGCACCTGTGGGGGATCTTGCTCGTACCCGATTTGCTCGTACCTCGCCATCGTTGCACTCGGTAGGGCTGAACTCGTCTCTTACCCCAGAGGACACCATCATGGAGCAGCTGGAAAAGAGGACCCAGGCACAGGAGGAACGCGTCAAGACCCAGGAAGAGGCCGAGGAGGTGCGCGTCAAGACCATGAAGGAGCGGTTGGTGGCACTGTTCGGCGAGAGGTCGCAGGCAGATGAGGCGCGCGCCACATCCGCACGAGAGGCTCTAGGACCGTGAGGCACAAAAATGCATGACACGGGCCACTCGATTTGGGGGATGGTTGGATGTTGAAGGTTGAGTTGGGGGTTGATGTGACAGACGGTTGAGGTGTCAAACGATGTCAGTCATGTCTTTCGTGGCCTGTGCAGGAGCGCAGCTGGAGGAGAAGATCCAGGCGGAGGAGGCGCGCGCCAAGGCTGCTTTGGAGGCGTTGGCGGCACAGCTTGAGGAGAAGATCCAGTCCGAGGAGGCACGCGCCGACGCCGCGGAGGCCCTGGCGGCGCAGCTGGAGGAGAAGATCCAGGCGGAGGAGGCGCGTGCCAAAGCCGCAGAGGAGGCCCTGGCGGCGCAGCTGGAGGAGAAGAGCCAGGCGGAGGAGGCGCGCGCCGGCGCGGAGCGGGTCGCCCTGGAGGCGCTGCTGGAGGCGAGGGCGCAGGCAGAGGAGGCGCGCGCCAGAGCCGCGGAGGAGGCCCTGGAAGCGCAGCTGCAGAGGGAGGGGGCTCGAGCCAGACTCGCCGAGGAGTCGGGAGGAGGAGAGCACGGCAGGTGCGTGTCGCGCCGACGCGGTGGCGACCCCCGCGCGGGCCTTCGAGGCGGAAGGTGCCGCCAGGGGCCCAGGGCCGGTCTCCTCCTCCTCCTCCTCCTCCTCCTCCTCCTCCTCCTCCTCCTCCTCCTCCTCCTCCTCCTCTCCCCCTCCTCCTCCTCCCCCTCCCCTCCTCCCCCTCCTCCTCCTCCCTCCTCTCTCCTCCTCCTCCTCCTCCTCCTCCTCCTCCTCCTCTCCTCCTCCCCTCCTCCTCCTCCTCCTCCTCCTCCTCCTCCCCCCCCCCTCGATCGTCCGATGCTCCATGGCCCACGTGGTGTCAGAGGCCGACGCCGAGGTCGTCGCGGCGCGAACCCGCCGCACACGCCACCACCCGGGCACCCGCAGCAGGGGCGCCCTCGAGGGCGCGGAGCTCTTCGCGCGTCGCGCTTCGGCTCCGATTCCTCCTCGACCTCCTCTTCTCGAGCAGTGGCGAAGCGTCCTGGCTCGCCGATAGGCCTACCACACAAGGTTCTAAGCACTTTTTGTGGTGTCCACGACATGTTCGTAGAACAGTTCTGGCGGAGTCTGTCATGTTATAACACATCGCGGATCTATGTTCTCAGAACATTGTGTTCGTTCTTAGAACAGTGTTGGGTTCTAAGACCACTTCGTGGTAGGACTATATAGGAATGCCGGGACGGTCGGTCCCTGCTCAACCTTTCTCCCCCTGGGGGGGCCGCCGCGAGAGCGCGAAGTCGTTCCCGCTCTGCGCAGCGAGAGGGAACGCGCAGCTGGGCGCCCTTTGCCGCGGGCCCGCTGCGGCACCGGGCCCCGGCCAGGCCGCGGCGCGCCCGCGGCCCGGAGCGGCCGGGGGGTGGGGGGCTGCCGCGCACGACCGGCGGCGGTGCACGGCCGCCCTCCATGTGGGCGTCGCCTGGCATCGCTCGGACGTGTGCACTTTGTTCTCGGCGAGGGCCCTCGAGGAGCATTTTGCTCACCTTGGGGGGGGGGGGGGGGGAAAAATGATACCGGAGAAAAGCCCCAATCATAATCTGTTTGGGGCTGTAGGGCTATATGGGCTATGTGGGCTCTTGGGCTCTTGGGCTCGAGGCCACTCTGCGGAAGAAGCCACGCGCGAAACCGAGGAAGGCACGGGGGACGGACGTCCGAGCGATGGCAGGGGGTCGCGCAGGGGGGGGGGGGGGCGACACATCGGGAGGGAGGGGGGGGGGGCAGCGAGGGCTGCAGAGGGGGAGCCCTTCGGGGCCTCGAGAGGGGCCCTGCAGGGCCCAAGCGAGAGCCTCTGGTGCCCAAGACGTGCACCTTTCCCCCCCCCACCCCACCCCTTTTACCGCCTCCCCCCCCCTCATTCAGCGACGCCCGACCCTCTCCCCAAGGAGTCGGAGGTTGATAGACCTCCTACCCTGACACGTCGATTAAGGAACTGGCCGTTTTCGGTTCGCGAGAGGGCGTCGCGGCCGTCACTTTTGCGGGTCCAGGTCCGTCGGTTTCGGTCCCGGGCCGTTTTTAGCTAAGGAGAGGTTTACTAAAGGGAGGTTTGTCCGCCGCCGATCATTCAGCGACGCCCGACCCTCTCCCCAAGGAGGGCCTGGAGGGGAGGCTGGGCGTGGCGGCGGCCGCGGAGGAGCCAGGGAGGAAGAACCGCAACCCCGAGTCCGACAATTCGCGCGCTTGCTGCACGGCCCTGGGCGTTGACCACGCAGCCCTGCCCTGCTCGATGCCCTGGGTGCGTTTCCTACCTTCAGCGAGCGAAGAACGGTACAACATACACTTTTCCGCCGTCGGGGGCACCTGCCCCTGGGCGGCTGGAAAGTTTATGCCCCTACGGTGCCACCGTAAGGGTATAAACTTTCCAGCCGCCCAGGGGCAGGCGCCCCCGACGGCGGAAAAGTTGGTGTTCTACCGCTCTTCGCCCGTTGATAAATGGCTTCGCATGTCGGGGTGCTTCTTCTGCGGGCGGCGTTTCGGCCCTCGCGAGGAGGCCCGCGCGAAGGCCGCGGAGGAGGCCCTCGAGGCGAGGGTGGGCGAGCGCGCCCAGGCGGAGGAGGAGCGCGCGAGGCCGGGCGCCGCGCAAAGCGGGCGGCGGCGATCAGAGGGTCGACTGCACTTCTGCCGGGCAGGTCCTCAGTGGGCCCTGGAAACAGCAGGGCCGTTTTTTAGGGACTAGGGAAGATGTTTCGACTAACTAGGCTTGCTTATGTTTGCGCATACTTTGTTGCGTTCGTCCAAAATCCGCCTGTAAGAGGACATGCCCGGCCTAAGACTGCACGTAAGAGTGACCCTTCGCCAGAGTTTAGCGGGCCCTGGAAACGACAGGGCGGTTTTTTTTCCGGTTCCGTTTTGCCGTTTTTTTGCCGGTTCCGTCGCCGTTTTTCCACCGGTTCCGTCGCCGTTGTTCGACCGGTTCCGGCTCCGGTTCCAATCCTGGAGCCGTTTTTGTTGCCGTTTCCGGTCGCCGTTTTTTTGCCGCTTCCATTTTCAAAGGACATTTTTTGGGAAACGGTGAGAAAACGGCCCTGCCGTTTCCGGGGCCCACAAAGGGCAGGTCCTTCTACAGGTGGAATACTCAAAAATAGTCCCAAAATAGGATTGGGGCGATGTTTCGACTATGCTTGACCATGTTTGCGCATATTTTTTGCGTTCGTCCAAAATCCACCTGTAAGAGGACATGCCCGACCTAAGACTGCACGTAAGAGTGACCCTTCGCCAGGGTGACCTTTGGTGCGGGCTCAACCGGGCTCCCCCCGATCGCCGGGCGCGGTGCGGCGGTGGCTGTGCTTGCGCGCTTGGAGTCGGCCACCTTGCGCCCCCGGAGTCCGCGCACTGGAGATCATTCCTGCCCAGGGTCTCCCTTGCGTGTAGCCGACGATGGGGGAGAAGCTCGAGGAAGGTGCACCTTTTCTGGTGCCCTGGAGGGCCCCCTGGGGCCCCGAAGGGGGGGCGCGACTGGAGCATGCTGCATCGCCCCCCCCCCCCCCCCTCGATCTGGGCCTCCCGGATGGGGTCCGAGTTGATGGGGTCGGAGTCTCCCGCCGCATCGCCGAGGCATCGCGGATGCATCGCCGCCATACCGCCGATGCGTCGTCGATGCATCGGCGACGCTTGCGGAGCATCGGCGACGTCGGCGGCGAACAAAAAGCCCGGCTCCGCATCGAGCCGCTTCGCGGATGCGCCGGCGACGCGGCGCGATCCAGCGACCCCGTCTCCGCGGGCCCCACCCGGGAGGCCTCGGAGGAGGAGGAGGAGTTCGAGGAGGAGGAGGAGGAGGAGGTGAATTATGATGTTAGTAATAATCAGAATAATACTAATGATATTAGTATTGTTATTATTATTGTTGTTATCATTATCATTCGGAGCGGCGCCCCGCGAGGGCCGCGGAGCGGGCGCTTGCGCTGCAGCTCGACGAGAAGGCCCAGGCGGAGCGGAGCGCGGGCGAGGAGGCGCTGGCGCAGGCCCGCGCCCTCCGGGGGGGGGCACGGCGGCTGGAGCACGAGGGGGCGGCGGGCGTTGGCGGGCGTCCTCCTGCGCTGACGCCAGGCCGCCCGGCGTCCCTAATCCTCATCCGCCCTCCTCCTCCTCATCTTCCTCATCTTCCTCATCCCACGCATTCCACTCTCCTCTTCCTTCCTCCTCCTTCTCCTCATCATCAGCAGCATCATCACCATCAACATCATCAGCATCACCATCAGCATCATCATCATCATCAGCATCATCATCACCACCACCATCACCATCACCATCATCATCATCATCATCATCACCACCATCACCATCATCATGAGTTGCATCAGCATCATCATCAAGACCAGCATCATCAACATCATCAGCATCAGCACCAACATCGTCACCAACATCATCAGCAGCATAATCACCAGTATCAGCATTGTCGTCATCATCATCATCAGCAGCAGCAGCAGCAGCATCAGAATCATCAGCATCATCATCATCAGCATCAGCATCATCCTCATCCTCGTCGTCATCCTCATCCTCATCCGCCTTCCTCCTCTACCTCTTCCCAAGCCTTCCTCGTGAGCCAGGCAGGCTCGCCCCCGAGGACCTCCTTGCGGTTGGGGGGTAGCATGAGATGGCCCGCCTTGTTTCTCGTTCTGCGGCTGAGCAGGAGGCCCAGATCGGAGATTTCGAGGGTGTTTGGCCACGTGCGCCTTGATTGGTTCAGGCACGTGGGCACGTGGACCTCGACCCTGGTCCTGTTCTCCCTCCCCTTCCTCCCTGCGTTTGGGAGCGCTGGGGCGGGCGGGGCAGTGCGGGCGGGACTGGGGAGGAGATCATGAGGCGGCCCGTCAAAGGGCCCCGGCAGGCTGCGGCCCAGTCGGAGGCCGCCACTGTTGCCGCTGCCCTGTGGCCTGAGCTAGGGGAACGACTGACATAAAGATCGGAGGTGGTTAGACCTCCTACCCTGACACGTCCATTAAGGAATTGGCCGTTTTCGGTTCGCGAGAGGGCGTCGCGGCCGTCATGTTTGCGGGTCCAGGTCCGTCGGTTTCGGTCCCAGGCCGTTTTCACCAAGGGGAGGTTTACTAAAGGGAGGTTTGTCCACCGCCGACAACATAACAACTCAGAGGTCCGCGCGAATTTCTCGGATCGGCGTTGGGGTCCCCTGGCGGCGCCTCTGGCGCCGCTCCTGGCGCGCTCCGCTCGCCAGGGAGGGGTGTCCAGCGCGGATCCAAGAAGTCCGCGCGGACCTCCGAGTTTTTATGTTTGTGTGACGTTTCGCTCCCCTATGAGCTGGCCCCATTGGCCCGCTCGGAACCAGTCGGTCTGGGAGGCCGCGGTCTTCGATTCGAATGGATGGGTTGGCCGCTGGCTCGATGGCTCGTTGCTCTGGGTGCGGAGCCGTGTGCCAGGTAGGATGCCATTGGAGTAGGGTTGTTCTCGCGTCGGAACGTCTGCACGCGTACTCCATGGGTCGCGGCAGGCAATTGACTTGGATTTGCGCGGGGGCCATCCGTCTCGCAAAGGCTTTCGTGCCCACAGGCCGAGTGTGAGGCATCGAGCGCCTGGCTGGCACCCAAGGTGCGGCTGGAGCAGCAGCCCTCCCTGGCACGGCCGCCTGCCGAGCGCTTATGGTCGACGGCTCCTGCTGGGATGGGGGTGGACCTGGCGAGCGGTCTGTCTCGGCTTACCGGATCGGACATGTCCCTCCACAGGAGGAATATTCAAAAGTAATCCAACAAACAGTCTGGCGACGGTTTGTGTTTGTAAGTTTGTTTTGGTGATGTGGGAGTATGTTTTGACTATGTTTCATTTGTTTTTCACAATCCGCCCGAGGAGGACGTGCCCGACCTAAGGCTACAGCCGGGCCCCTCGGTGCCCGTGCTGCGGAGCGCAGGAGCCGTGCGACCCGAGCCGAACCCGACATATATTCGTGTTTGTCAGAGTTTTAAGCCCCGGCCTGTGGGGCGTCCTTTGGCACCTCTTTGATCGGGGGCGGGCAAGAAGGTGGTGATGACTAGGGAGGGGATAGCATGGCGGGGGCCATGATATCTCCCCAGATTGTATGGCGCCTCGTCTTGTTTCAATCCGTTTCCGCCCCCCCACACGTGGGCCGCGGACATCTGCCCGCCATCCCTCTTGGACGCCCCCCTCTTGGCCGCCCCCCTCTTGGCCAGCCCCTTTTTGAGGCCGACGCGCCGCCTTTGGTTTGATGCATGTTGGAGTGCGATCGCTTCCCCAGCGGGTGCCGCACTCCCTCTTCTTCCTCCTCCACCCCGTGTGTTTTCCTCCTCCGCATCCTCCTCCTCCCTCCGCCTTCCTCTCTCCTCCCTCCTCTCCCCACGCGCTTTTCCTCTCTGTTCTTCCTCCCTTCTCTTCTTCACTCCTCCTCCTCCTCCTCCTCCTCCTCCTCCTCCTCCTCCTCCTCCTCCTCCTCCTTTCCTCTTTTCCTCCTCCTCCTCCTCCTCCTCCTCCTCCTCCTCCTGCTAGCCGCCATGGCACAGGTGCCTTCGCATCCCCTGAGCGGCTTCAGGAATGCGTGCTCTCCTCTACCCCGCGCTTCCTTACCCCTACATATAGGCACTTTCCGCCACGGCGCGCGCGGCTCACCATGCATGCACATCTCTGGTTCGCTGTGCATAACGTCGATTCTCAAGTGGGCGGGCGTGGCCCTTGCCCGCCCGCCAGTCTGCCGCCACTCTGCAGGCGCGCCTACAGCGTGGCCGACGCCACCAGCACAGCCCACGGCGTAGCAACCGCAGGCCTTCGCTCCGGACCATCAGCGCGGCGCGCTACGCTTAGCAAGCTCTGGCCAGCCACCTCACTTCCAGTTCTCAGCCCCGGCCCCAGACGCTCCGCTGCCCTTCGCGCCTGCGCAGCAGGGCCGAGGCCAGAGCACCCAGCCTGCCGCAGGCCAGGTCCACACCCCCCCTCCCCCTCTCCTCGGATTACACATTTCTTGCCCCTGATCTCCTTCCTCCCTCTCCGCGTCCTGCTGCTCTTGTTTTACGCCGTCCTTTGCCCTCTCCACCGGTCACAGATTGTCCTCCCACCAGCCGGCGACTCCTGGATCGAGCGCTCCAGGAGTCGCTCGGCTCCTGGGTCTGATCCCCCCCAGGGCCGACCGGCCCTGGGGGGAGGGAGGGCATCCGGTGAATACTCCTGCCTTCAGCCCACAGTCCATAATTAGGAGGAGGAGGAGGAGCAGGAGGAGGAGGAGGAGGAGGACGAGGGGGCACCCACAGGGAGGAGAAGAAGGAGGAGGAGGAGGAGGAGGAAGAGGCGGAGGAGTAGGAGAAGGGGAGGGGGAGGAGGAGGAGGAGGAGGAGGAGGGAGGAGGAGGAGGAGGAGGAGGAGGAGGAGGAGGAGGAGGAGGAGGAGGAGGAGGAGGAGGAGGAGGGGGAGGGAGGAGGGAGGAGGAGGAGGAGGAGGAGGAGGAGGAGGAGGGAGGAGGAGGAGGAGGAGGAGGAGGGAGGAGAGGCGGCGCAGAGCTCGAGCGACAGCAGAGCGCACTGCCGGTGGCTCTGCCGCGCGAGGGTGCCTCCGCCGGCCGCCGCGCGCCGAGGCCGCGGCCAGGCACCACGAGGGGGTCCAGCAGCTCCAAGACCAGCAGGACCCAGGGCTTATTCTTCTACTTCTTCCTCTCCTTCCTCCTCCTCATCCTCCTCCTTCCTCCTCTCCTCTCCTCTCATTCCTCTCCTCCCTCCTCCTCCTCCTCCTTTCTCTCCTTTCTCTCCTTCCTCCTCCTCCTCCTCTCCGGCTCCTCTCCGCCTCCTCCTCCTCCTCCTCCTCCTCCTCCTCCTCCTCCTTCCTCTCCTTCCTCCTCATCCCTCCTTCCCTCCCTCCCTTCAGGAGCGAGAGAAGGATGCACACGTGCATGAATCCACGCTGGTTTCGAGAGGCTGCACTGCGCGAGTGTCCGCATCACGCGGACGGTCTCGCGGATCGAGGGGCCCTGCTCACGTACACGGTTGGGCGCGTGCGTCTTTTATGGGCTCCTTGTTTGTCCCTCCCTCCCTCCCCTCCCTCCCTTCCCCCCCCCCCGAGTCATCTGGGTTGGGGGGCAGTCAGCTTAGCATCGCTCGGACGTGTGCATGTTTCTCGGCGGGGGCCAGCGCCAGAGAATCTGGACCGTCCTGGAGAATCCTGGGTTCAGTCGGGCATGTCCCTCTGCAGGGGGAATATGCTCAAAAGTAGTCAAAAGTATAGACTGGGGACTGCTGTTGGAGTATGTCTGAGCATCTTCTGGGCCACGCTCTGAGAGCACGGGGAATGGCCGCCCGAGCGATGGCAAGTCGGGGGTAGCTACAGGTGCGCGCCTCGGGGGCCCAAGCCAGGGCAACTCCAGACCGCAGGCATCCCGGGGAGTTCGTGGGAAAAAACACACACGTGGGAAAAACACACACACACACACACACACACACACACACACACACACACACAAAACACAGACTGTGGGAAAACAAAAAGCACACAGACTGCGTGTTTGTCTCACAGACTGTGTCTGTGTGTGTTTTTCCCACGGACTGTGCGTTTTTTTCCCACAGACTCTTGGTTTTTTTCCCACAGGCTGTGTTTTTTCCCGCAGACTGTGTTTTGTGTGTGTTTTTGCGTCCAACCCCTCCGAGTCGTCCAGGCTGGAGGCAGTCAGGGGCAGCCACAGCTTCGCGCCCTGGGGGGCCAAACCAGAGCTGCCCCTCACCGCAGTTGCCCCGGCAATTCGGGCGTCCCAAGGACTGCTCGGAACAGTGGCCCCAGATCTCCGACGGCACCGCCGATCGGCGGCGAGGGAGGAGGGGGGAAAGCGAGAGAGAAGGCCCTCTCAGAATGCGCCGCGGCTTCCCAGAAGGCCCCCCGGCCTTCCGAGAAGTGTGGTGTGCCTTCGCAGAAGGTTTCTAGGAAGTGTCTCAAGAGGCCCGGGGCCTTCTGAGAATGCCAGCCCCTTCTCACTTCCCCCCCGGATCCGCCGCCGAGTCAAGACGATGAAATAAGGAACAGTTTGCGTTCGGAGTGGGCTCGATGTTCCTTGGGTCCTTCCTGGTTGATTATCTGGTGTTCCTCGTCCAAGCAGGCGCTTGTGGACCAAGAATGAGCTTCGTTCCTTTATTCAGTGTTCCTACTGTAGTTGTTCCAACCCCGGCGTTTCTTCTCGATTCTGGCCTCCGCGTCTTGGGACCACCTAAGATAGAAGTTGGACGAAAAACATCCCCGGGGAAGCGGTCGGGACCTCCTGGAGACGCGGATCGAACAAGTTCCCCTGCAAAGCATTATCCTAGCAGACAGGATTAAGAGTCGGGTCGAGGAGTGGGAGGTCGGCTAGTGAAGACACGTATTATCGTGTCTTCCCATGGGCTCCTTGAAGGATGCAGACCAGACAGAGATGAGCGCCACGTGCACATTTGCGTATCTGTTAAAAAGGATCCAGGCCGTCCGGACCAACAATTCAGCCGGCATTGAGGCGAGAGCACGGCCACGTGCACCGCAGTGCACGCTTTACAAGGAACCGTCCGCATTCGCACCGGCACCCGTCCTTTCTGTGGGACTCTTCTGTGGTTTCGTTTTGCAGTCATAACAACCTTGGCAATCCGCGATCAAGTAAGTAAGTAAGCAGCATGTTCGGAGGTCCGCGCAGATGTTTGCAGCTCGGATTTCTCGGATCACCAGGGACGGGGTCCAGTGCCGATCGGAGTCTGCGTGGACCTCCAAAAGTTCTGTGCATGCCGTGTTGGGGCCCTCGAGCCAGATTGATGCCTTCGTGAGGGAGTCAGGGGTCGCAAATTGCGCACCTGCACTGGTCCTGGTCGGCCGCGCGCAGAGAGGGCCCAGGGGGAGGGGGGAAGGCCTCTTACAAGGAGGCTGCTTCTCAGAAGGCGCGGGCTGATCTTTCGATTACTTGCCAGCGCCTTCTGAGAAGCAGCCTCCCTCGGGGAAGGCCTCTTACAAAGAGGCTGCTTCTCAGAAGGCGTGGGCTGATCTTTCGATTACTTGCCAGCGCCTTCTGAGAAGCAGCCTCCCTCTGAGGGGCCTCACCCCCTCCCGCCCCCCTGCGCGCCGCCAAGCCTGCGCTGGCCCTGTCCAGGTCCAGCTTGGGCCCCGGATCGGCGCATGGCGTTGAGCCGGGCATGTCCTTCTACAGGAGGAATACTCCAGAATAGAGAAAAAATCTGGTGACCATGTCTGGTGCTCTTTCGACTCAGTGTGGTTCTTGCTTGACTATATTTAACGCTTCCTTGCAAAATCCGCCTGTGTCGGCGACTACAATCGGTGCGGTTACGCCGGGGTGCGGTCTGCGAGTTGCTTTGTGGCGGCCTTTTCGGGGTCTTTGTGAGAGACAATGTCATAACTGTCGTCGCTTCGAGCGACGCTGTCATCCTCGATGTGTGCTCCACTGTACTTAAAGGGGCGACAGTGTCATGTGATTCGGTCGCATCGAGTGACAGCGTCATCCGTTTCCCGGGGGCGGGAGGGGCAGATAAGATTGGGCGTTGCGTAATGGGGGGGTCATACATGGGGGGGTGGCGAGAGTGGTCCGAAAAGGTACCCAGACGGTACCTAAACGAGCCCCCTGGGGCTCCAGGGGGGCCCGAAAGGGGCACGAAAGGGGACCTTTTCTGACCCCCCCATTTGTGACCCCCCCATCAAGCCACGCCCAATAAGACGGGAGGCAAACCGCACCCGTCGCAAACCGCACCCCTTGTAGCCGCCGCCTGTGAGAGGACGTGCCCGACCGCAGCACAGCGTCGATAAGCCCCCGGCCGCGGGAGCGCGGCCCGAGCGCCCGAGCCCCGGCGCCGCCGTTGGGCCCCCAGGGCCCCAATACGAGAGAGAGGTGCCCCCCGAGCGAGGCGCGCGCCGAGAGAGGTGCAGATCAGGAGGGGAAAAAACACACAGACACAATTAATCGTCGATCCCCAGGAAAATATGGGAAAATATGGGAAATGGTGGGGAAGACAAAAACCCAGAGAATATGGGAAAATATGGGGAATCTTTTTATTTGTGTGTATTTATTTGTGTGTCCTGGGGCCCCTTCAGCAGAGCCCGCGCACGACGAGCAGGAGGGCGCCCCTCCAATCGAGGCCTCGAGCAGGGCTTGGCACCGCTCGGACGTGCGTGTGTTTTTTCCTTCGGCGAGGGCCATCGAGGAGCATCCTGGATCACTTGGTGAAAAAAAACCGCGCACGAAACCGAGAAAAAAAACAGGAAATGGACGTCAGAGCGATGGCCAGGAAGGGCGCCCCCTCCAAGCGAGGCTTCGAGCAGGGTGTCCGCTGCGGAATTGATCTACCCCGATCTCGGGCCGGGCGAGAGGGGGGGATCGGGAAAGGGGGGGTTAACGAAATCTGCCGCACGCGGCTGGTTTCGGCCCCACCGAGGGGCCCATTCCTCGATGCATGGCCGCCTTCCGGCGCCGGGAACATCAGCTGCGTGAGCTGATTCTCAAACCCCCCCCTTTGCTATCCCCCCCTTTCGCCCGGCCCGACAATCGAGGAGCAAGAAGCGGCATGCACATAAACTCGTGGCGCTCCGCGCGGACATCTTGGATCCGCGCTGGGCCCCCCTGGCGGCGCCGAGAGGTGCAGAGCCCGAGCACGACGAGCAGAGGGGCGCCCCTCCAAGCGAGGCTTCGAGCAGGGTGTCCACTGCGGAATTGATCTACCCCGATCGAAGGGCAAGAAGCGGCATGAACATAAACTTGTGGCGCTCCGCGCGGACATCTTGGATCCGCGCGGGCCCCCCCCTGGCGGCGCCGGAGGTGCCTCCCCTTGCCCCGCCGGCTGCCCTACGCCTGTCGTTTTTTTGTTCTCTTCTTCTAGAGAACAAAGAACAGAAAGGTACTCCAGATTTCGTAATCAAGGGAGGGGGGTCTCACTTCGGGGGGGGGGTCTCTTCCAGGCTATCTTGAAGGGCCTGGGGGGTCTGGGAACGATGTTTTGGAGGGTTCTCCCACGGGGGAGGTCTGAAATGGCTTGTCTTGGGGGTCCAGACCCCCTCCCTTTTATTACGAAATCTGGGGTACCCATCGAAGGCTTCGAGCAGGGGATCGACTGCAGAACTGACCTACCCCAAGGTTGCTTGTTCCGTCGACTCCTGCAACAAAAAAAGAACAACACGCAGAATGCCCCGCGGATCTGCGGAGCATGCTACACATGCTTCTCGGGCCGGGCAAAAGGGGGGGATTGGGAAGGAGGGGTTACGAAATTTGCTGCATGCAGCTGGTTTCGGCCCCACCGAGGGGCCCATTCCTCGATACGTGGCCGCCTTCCGGCGCCGGAGGCGCCGGGGAAATCAGCTACGTGAGCTGATTCTCAACCCCCCCCTTTGCTATCCCCCCCTTTCGCCCGGCCCGAGTTTCGCAGATGCTGCGAAAAAGCAGTGTGAGGACAGGTCAGTTCTGCACCCGATCCCTTACTCGAAGGCCAGGGTTGCTCTTCGCCCTCGAGCCAGCGACACGCCAGGTCACGAGGGCGCGTGCACCGGGCCGAGGCCCCAGGATGAGTTTGCCCAGGGGTGCGGTCGGCGTTCTCCCAGGAAGGGGACATGGTCGGGGGCAACGATACAGTCGGGGGCCCTGAAGAAGGAACCCTTTTCGTTGGGGAGGGGCTCCGCGTTCCTTAAGTGTTTCGCAGCTTGCCTCAGGTTTCCTTATGTTTTCGATCGGAAATCGAAGTTTAACTCATGGAAAAAAGAGGCCTCGTTCCTTATTTGGGGTTCCTTAGGTCAAGCCCCCGACTGTAGGGGGGGATGGGCATAGGGGGAATGCATCGACCCCCAATCGCCCATTGAGCGCCGATGGGGGCCCGATGGCACCAGCCTGCCCGGGAAGGTGCGGATTCACTTTCGGGGGCACATCGCCGATCTATCAGCCATGTACTATCGCCGATTCCAGGTCGATGCATCCCCCCTATGCCAGCCCCCCCTTGTCGTTGCCTCTCACATGGAGAACAACAGGAACAGTCAACTGCGTTTGAAGATCCCACCCCGCATTGAACACGTCGAGTAGCAAATTGTACGATTCGGCACTGCGTGGCCAGGCAACGGTAAGCACACGCCTTTCTCGGGCGTGGCGTAATTAATAGGGGGCGCTAAATGGAGGTTGGGAGCAAAGGTGCTCCTTGGTGGCCCTAAAAGGGACCCCTGGGGCCAAACAGGGGCTCAAACGGAGCACGCTGGTCCCCCCCCGCCTGTTGTCCCCCCAATTAAGCATCGCCCAAGTTTCACAGAATATCCAGTCGACGACACAGTGCGACACACTTCGGCATGTAATTGAAGGTGTGCGGCCAGGCTAAGATGCCGAAGGGGGGGCAGCGTTGGTCACGAAGGGTAACAGGTCAATTCAAGATTTAATTGCATATATTGCACCACAGGCGTTGCACCGACTAGATTGCACCACATGGGTTGTAGCACATGGGTCGCGTTATGCGCACATTTCATCGCACATGTTGCCGATCGAGATCTCAATCACCTACTGTGCGGGGTCCACGGTGTCAAACCCTTTCTATGTGTTCGACATAATTTGCAGCATGCGTTGGTGGTTTTTTTTCCATCGGAAAATCCAGGCAACAAATGTCAGAATCGGTGAGTTTTCGGGGGTATGGTTTCGACACGAGCGTGGCCGAACACCGTAGCCTCTCTGGGAGCCCTCCTGCGGCTCGCCCGGGGCCTCCTGCGATGCTATCGTGGGCCCCCTCGGGCCCCTCCTGGGGCTGCCTTGGCGTCCCTCGGGGGCCTCTCGGCGGCGTCCAGGGGCATCTCCTGGGGCCTCCTGCGGCGCCCTGGGGCCTCCCGGGAGCCGTCGTGGCGGCCAGCCGTGGGGACCTCTCGGGGCACCCCCCGGGCCCTCGAGGGGGCCTCTCCGGGGCCCTCTCTGCGCGAGGCCGCGCGGGCCCCTCCCGAGGCCAGCCGCAGCCCAGGGGCTCGGGGCTCGGCCCCCCTGCGGCAGCAGAGCCTCGGGCAGCTTCGGCAGGGGCGGCTTCGGGGGCGCGAAGCTCGTCGCGCTCCGCGCTTCGGCTCCGACCTCTCCCCCTCGTCCTCCTCGTCTCCCCCAGAGGGGGGGGGGGAGCGCGAGAGCGCGGAGCTGTCCGCGCTTCGCGCGAGAGCGCAAAAAGTGGGGCGCCCGTGCTCAAAAGCCGTGCACGAGCTGGGCTGCCGCGGTGGGGGCCACCGCTCTCGGGGGGCCCCCGGGCTCTCTCGCGAGAAGCACGCCCCGGCAGAGACAAGCCGTGTGGGGAGGTACAAAGCCCCAAATGTCAGGAGGGGAAAAACACACACAGACACAAGTAATCGTCGATTCTCAGGAAAATATGGGAAACTATGGGAAGTGGTGGGGAAGACAAAAAACCCGAAAATATGGGAAAATATGGGGGATCTTTTTATTTGTGTGAATTTATTTGTGTGTCCTGGGACCTCTTCAATGGATCCGGTCCCGTTTCCATGAGAACTCGCGGATTTCCGCCGCAGAACGAGGCGGCACCGGTCGCATTTTGGGGAGGGCGCCTCCCCGGATCCATGGATTTGGCGCGCGATCGCTAATCCATGTGTTTGCGCGCCCCCGATACAAACTCCCAAGTGTTCAGAACGAAAACAGGTAGCATCTTTGTAGATCTGCACACCTTCAGCGTATGTTGAGTAGGACGGACGGCAAAATCAACGTTTGACATATCAGCTTTGTAGCAGATCTCCTGCTCGAAGGGTCTGGAGGCCGCCCAAAGCGCAGTGGGATTGCGACAGGAGGACCAAGACGGTTCTGCGGCTCGTGGCCTGGCGCGGGCCGCGCACCAGGAAGGGGGGAGGAAGAGGTCAGGAGGGGAAAAAACACACAGACACAATTAATCGTCGATCCCCAGGAAAATATGGGAAAATATGGGAAGTGGGGGGAAGACAAAAACCCAGAAAATATGGGAAAATATGGGGAATCGGTTTATTTGTGTGTATTTACTTGTGCGTCCCAGGGCCCCTTCAAGAGGAAGCGGCTGTCGAGGAGGCAGAGGTGGGGCGCGAAGCCGATTTTGAGAGTTGTGAGTCCGGGCAGGCAGGTTCAGTCGGGCTGCTGCAGGGAGGATTGCTAAAGAAGGAACGAAGCCCCCCTTTTGGGCCCCAAAAGCGCCTGCGTGCACGAGGAGGGCTCGATGAACAGCCACGGAACGACCCGAGGAACGGCGAGCCCCTTCCGGACCCAAAGCGATCCTTACGTCAGCGTCACTGTACGGTCCGGACTCTTGGGATAAGGACCACGTCGGGCTCAGGAGGGCCTCTGGCCTTCGGGCGGCGTCTCGGCTCCGGGCCGTGGAGCCGATTCGTGGCCGAGGCTCGCCGTGGCCAGAGAATGCCCCTCGTTCTCTCTTCGGCGTTCCGCGGCGGGGGGGAACGCAAAGACACGAACACTCGTGGATCCCCAGGAAAATGCGGACAAGATGTGAAGGGGAGGGGAAGGCGAGCAGCCACAATCTATATATATATAGAGAGAGAGAGAGAGAGAGAGAGAGAGAAAAAAAAAAAAAAAAAAAATGGGAATCCTGGGATTCGTGTCTGTGTACTCGTGTGTGTGTCCCTGGGCCCATTCAAGGGCTGCCTGCCACAGGCGGACTTGGCTGTCAGGAGGGGCGGTCAGGGGAGGGGAGGGGGGCGGCGCCGCGCCGCCGGCAGGAGAAGCACTGGGCGGCCTTTCAGGCGAGCTGCTTCCCTCGTTGGTTCAAAGACGGGGTCCCGAGGGAGGGGGTCCTCAGGATGGGAAGGAATCCAAGGGTGGATCTCTATTGCTTGAGGCGCCTCGTCCATAGGAGCCCATCCCTCAGGACCCCATCTTTGAACGACCGACTCTCGACGGACTCGTGTGTCGGCACTGCTTTTCGTCCCCGTCGCCTCTCCTTTCTCGGCCACGCGCAGAGGGGGGATCTTCGTTGGTTTTCGGCGGTGTTCATTCGTTCTCGGCGGTTTTCCAGCCTCGGGACGCTCTCCAGCGCCTGCGCCTCGCCGAGAGCGTTCCGGGGGTGCCGGATCGTCCCAAACGGCCGCCTGAGGCACGGCCCGAAAACCGAGGCCATACGCAAAAGGGGGTGGGGGGAGGGGGGAAGGCTTCTTAGAAGCACTCCTCCTTAGAAGGCGCGGGCCTTGTCTGTAGATGTAGGGCCGGCGCCTTCTGAGAAGCAGCCTTCTTCTATGAAGTGTTCCACCCTCCCTCTATCCCCTGGTGCGCGCCGCCACCATTCCTCGCCAGCCCGATTCTCACCTCCAGTCCTGCCGCCCAGCGAGTTAGAGCCGCTTTCGAGAAAAACAGGGCGCCTCCATCTGTCCAGGGGTTCGGGGGCGAGCAGGGTCTTCCAAACTCGTTCTGGAAGCTTTTGGGATGATGGTGGGAGAGAGCGGGTCGATCGGTCACAGATTGCTTTGCATGGTGTCTTCACTTCCCGAAGCGATGCTGCGCATTGAGAAGAGATTAGAGGTTGTTGGGACCCGCGTGGTTTAGCATGATGGGGCATGTCCCGTGATGAGTCGCCTTATTTGTCTACTTGCACTGCCGCCACAGATATTGTTAGGGTTCCTCTCGACTGTCATATCTTCTTGTGGCCTCATGGGTCGCGACGAGTCGGCGTTCGAGATGATGTTTTGAGTGAACCCGCGTCAGTACTGAGCGGCCAATCATGGCGACGGTTCGGCTCCCCCTCATCCTCATCGCCCTCCTTTCCTCCCCCGTCTTCAAGTTGGTGAGATGTTGCGATAGTGGTTTGGTGCCGATGCGGCGGCCCGAGCGATACCGCGCTGCACAATGCAGCAACGGCCTCTGATTACCCCTCTCGCATGGGGTAATGGATCTGCTTCACGATCTCTGTTCGCTCAGCTCCTGATGCAAGCACGCACGCACATACACACAAGCAGACATGCACACGTGGCAGCGCTTCGTCTGCCGTCCCTGGGCCCCCGTTTTGCTGGCGTCGGCGCCCGCTGCCGACGCCGCGCGGCAGACGGAGGTTCGAGATGCTGCTTGTCGTGAGACCGTCCGGCACAGAGCGGCCAACCGTGACGGCGCTCCGTCCGAGCACGCCCTCGAGGGCGCGATGGGGGTTCGCGCTTCGCGGCTCGGCTCCGATTCCCCCATTGTCCTCCTCGTCTCCCCTGGGTGGGGCGGCGCGAGGGCAGCGAAGGTGCCCGCGCTCCGTGCGGCGCGGGGCACGGAGTTGGGCTGCCCTCCTTCGGCAGGAGGCCAGGTCCCGAGCGAAGCGAAGCCCGACTCGCCCCCTGGAAGTCGTGGGGCGGTTCCTGGGCCTCCCAGGTGGGGTTCGAGCAGGTGGGGTCGGAGGATCGAGCCGCATCGCCGATGCATCGACGACGCGGCCCGATGTGGAGCCACATTTGCTTCACGTCGACGTCGTCGATGCATTGCCCACGTCGCCGGTGCATCGCCGGTGCATCGGCGATGCATCGGCGATGCAGCGCGATCCTCCGACCCCATCTACTCCGACCCCATCTAGGAGGCCTCTAGTGGTGGCGCTTGAGCTGGCGCTAGGACGGGGGGAGGGTGCGGGAAGGATGGAGGAGGCGGAGAAGGGGGAGGAGGAGGCGGAGAAGAGGGAGAATGAGGAGGAGGAGGAGGAGGCGGAGAAGAGGGAGGAGGAGGAGGAGGAGCAGGAGGAGGAGGAGGAGGAGGAGGAAGAGGAGGAGGCGGAGGAGGAGGAGGAGGAGGAGGAGGGTCGTCTGGGCCCTCGCCCTGGCCAGAGGCGCACGCCGCCGACGCCGCGCGGCAGACGGAGGCCCAGCGGGGCGACCTGGGGGCCCTGGCCCAGCGGGTCGCGGCCGCCGAGGAGCCCCCGCGGGCGCGGGGGGCGCTGCGGGCCGCGGCGGTGGGTCGTCGTCCTTCCCCCTCGCCGTGCGACGAGGTCCGAGGGCGCCCCTGGGCATCGGGGAGCCGTCTTGGCGGCCGGCTGGGGACCTCCGGGGCACCCCTTGGGCCCTCGGGGGGCCTCTTCGGGCCCTCTGCGCGAGGCCGTGCGAGCCCCTCCCGAGGCCGTCCGCAGCCCAGGGGTCAGGGATCGACACTCCTGCGGCAGAAGATCCTAGACAGCTTTAACGAGGGCGGCCTCGAAGGCGCGAAGCTCTTCGCGCTTCGCGGTTCGGTTCCGACTCCTCCTCATCGTCCTCTTCTCTCTTGGGGTCGGGCGACGAAATCTATACATATCCACGGCTCCCTGGCCATGCCCATCCTGAACCCAGGAGCTATATATACGCCTTTCTGGCCAAGCCAGGAGGGCGTGGCGTATACACCGCTGCTGGGTTCAGGATGGATCTGCCCAGGGACCAGTGGATATCTATAGATTTCGTCGCCCTGTGGGGGACGGCGTGAGAGCGCGAAGTTATGCGCTCTTCGCGCAGCGCGAGAGCGCGAAGTTGGGCGCCCTCCGTCGTCCTTCCCCTCGCCGTGTTCGTCTGGTTCTCGGTTGAGGCGGGTCGCTGTTGAGGGCGTCGCGACAGCGGCAAAAAATCAGAAAGCGCCACTGGACTACAAGAGCTCGTAGACGTGGGTGGCACAGCTCCGTGCCGCGTCGTGGGTGCCGAAGCGTGGCCAGAGCCCAGCAGGGCATGTGCGAACCCGACTTGTCTGGCCGATGCTCTGGGGGGGCCTGAGCTCAGGGGAGGCTGCAGCACCGCTCAGCGATGCGTTGTTTGACCGAACCTGCAGGGTGGGCCCCTTCTCCCTGCTCGGTTCCAGCGGGGCCGCTTCAGGCCCCCATACTGACGCGCGCGAGCGCCTCGAGGTCTCTTTTTGTTTTCGGACCGTCTCGTCGGTTCTCGGCGCTTTTCCAATTGCGTGCAGACGGCGTCTCCAGAGACGTCCAAATGGCATGTTCGGCAGCCACTTTGTGCACCATCCCGTGCGGTTCACGTCGAAACTGCTGCGGGCGGGTTTTTTTTGGCGCTGGAAATCTGAAAATCGGTCACGCCTCCGTGTCGTCGCAGGGGCTGGGAGGTAGACTCGAGGTTCGATGTCTTCGGGCGTTTTCGTCGGTTCTCGGTGGCTTTTCAGCCTCGGGCTGCTCTCCAGCAGGTGCGCCTCGCCGAGAGCGTCGCAGGGGTGGTCGGATCGTCCCGGCCTGCCGCCGGACGCCCGGTGATGACCAGAAGAACAGACGACGAGGATCTCTCGCGCTGTTCGTGTTCCTCGCTTCTCCTCCTCGTTCCTCCGCCTCCTCCACCCATGTGGTCGTGCTTCTCCCATATCTCCCGCATCTCCCAGTCCTTCCTCATGCTTGTCTGTCCTCCCCCGCCTCCTCCTCCCTCCTCCTCCTCCTCCCTCCTCCTCCTCCTCCTCCTCCTCCTCCTCCTCCTCCTCCTCCTCCTCCTCCTCCTGCTTTCCTCCTCCTCCTCCTCCTCCTCCCTCCTCCTCCCTCCTCCTCCCTCCTCCTCCCTCATCCGTCTCCTCCCTCCTCCTCATCCTCATCCTCATCCTCATCCTCATCCTCATCCTCCTCATCCTCATCCTCATCCTCATCCTCATCCTTTTCAGTTGCTTCCTGCGCATGCAGCCCAGCCTCCTCATCGGGCGCCGGGGATGCGCAGGGAGGGGGAGGTCGGGAGCGGGAGGGAGGGGCCCATGACGGGACGGACAGGGGAAGTCACGGAGGGTGGGCAGGGCGAGGAGAGGACACAGTCTTAAGTCGGGCCTGTCCCTCCACAGGTGGAATGTTCACAGATAGTCAAAAATAGTCTGGGGACGATGTTCTGAGCATTTTCGAGCACTTTTGGAGTTCGTTTTGACTATTTCTAATCCGTCGCCCAAGAATCCCCCTGTAGGGGGAAAGGCCGACCTCAACATAGTCAAACCGCATAGTTAGGATGAGCAACTCCCCAGGGCTACCCTTGGACCTTTGCCCCGTCGGCCCATCCTCAGCGACGCTCGTTGGCCAGCCTCGTCCGAAGAGCGCAGACATGGCTGTTGCTTCCCAGGACTCTGGCAAGTTCACCTATGATGCATGTTTCGCTCTGCCACCCTTCAACGCTCGAGTCCAGAATTCCTATTTAGGGGGCCACATGCGAACCCGACCCCTACCCCCCACCACTTCGGAGGGGGAGGGTGGGGTTCACTTCGCTCGGGAGCTCTCGAACGACGTGAACCCCACCCTCCCCCTCAGAAATCGTGGGGGGTAGGGGTAGGGTTCGCACGTGGCCCCCTACTGTTGCCGCTCGCTGGCACCCACCCACCCCCGCACGCGTGCGATTTGTTGCCAGAACCTGCGCTCCAGGGGATGGCCGCCTCTCGAGGGCGGCGCGCTCGGAGGAGAGGGGGGGCCGCGGGGCGCAGGGTGGAGAGGTCTGGGCGGCGCGCTCGGAGGAGAGGGGGTGCAAGGGAGGCAGAAGCATCGGGGCACGGGGGCGGGGTGGGCAGCGCCCCATCCAAGAGATCCGTGCGGAGCTCCGGACTGTTCCTCCGGATTTCGTAATAAAAGGGAGGGGGTCTGGACCCTCCAAGACAAGCCAGTTCAGACCCCCCCCCCCGTGGGAGAACGTTCCAAAGCATCGTCCCCAGACCCCCCCAGGCCCTCCAAGATAGCCTGGAAGAGACCCCCCCCCGAAATGAGACCCCCTCCCTTTATTACGAAATCTGGAGTATGTTTTATGCAGCGTTCCTTCTCTCACAGCCCAGGCGGTGCAGTCAGGAACAGGTTGGGCTTGGAAGGGGCTCGATGCTGCTCGGGTGATTCCATGGCTGCGTCTCTGCCGCTCCTCGTCCACGCAGGCGCATTGGGGGCCGGCAAGGGGCTTCGTTCCCTACGGTCGGGCCCAAGCATAAGATCCAGGTCGGCTCGGGGAGGGTACCCTGATGCTCTGCGTGCGTGTTTGAAGTTCTTGTGCACCCTAGGGGAGGGTACCCTCGAATGTTCTTCGGTTTGGCCAGCGGAGGGCCTCACGTTCTTGGAGGATGTTCTTCTGTCCTACAACACTCGACAAACATGCACTGGCGGATTCAGTTTTCGGCGCCTGCGCGGTCGGCGTTGCTTCACTGCTGACATGGGGCGTTCGGCCCACGCTCAGGGGTGCCCGACCCGAAATCTGACAGTGGCCTCGCAGCATTGAAGGACGCCTTCTCTGACAAGTGCCCGATCGTCGGACTGCCCTTCTGAGGACATCGCGACCGTCGGCGCGAGTTCTTCAAAAAGGGCAGTCATGAAGAACGCGAGCTCTCGGGCGCTTCGATTCTGAACGGCGTGCCCGTGTTTAGTTTGGGGCGAGGCTCGTAGGTTCCGACCGTGTGCAGCGCTCCTCCCTTCGGCAAAGCCCGACGAGCAGAGAGAGGGGGGGGGGGGGGGGGCAACGCTGGCGGCGCGCGGCAGAACGTGGCGCAGGAGCCAGGGGCGGTCCTGGCGGAAATGCCGACCCACCCCAACAAGTGTGATAAGAAACAAGTGTGATGAAAAAACACGAGTGTGATAAAACACTGTGATAACAAGTCTTTTAATACATTCGTGTTTTGGTCACACTTGTTTTGTTATCACACTTGTGTTTTGTCACACTTGTTTTCTGTCACGGCTCCTGGCATCGGGGAACGGACAATAACCAACACATCAAAATTCGGAGGTCCGCGCAGAGTGCTCGGACTCGCGCTGGACCCCCCTTGGCGGCGTCTCCGGCGCCGCCCCTGGCGCGCTCCGCGCGCCAGGGAGGGGGATCCCGCGCGGGTCCAAGAAATCCGCGCGGCTTTCCGAGTTCTCCTGTTTAGGCCATTTTTCTCGGAGGGGAATAGCTAGACCTCCCACGTCGATTCAGGAATTGGCCGTTTTCGGTTCGCGAGAGGGCGTCCCTCCCAAGAAGCCCTCATCCCTACAGTAGGTTCGCGTCGTGTCGACCGTCAGCGACCCCGCCGCTGGCGTTCAACGTTGAGCACCGACGTCGACCCAGAATCGGTCGATGTTGCACGATCTGACGCTTCGGCGACGGCTGGTCGTTCAGGGTTGAGCAATCCCCGCGGTGTCAGGAACCGACGTTGGGGTCGGAAGCAGCACAGCACCGACGTTGAGCACCGACGTCGACCCCGAATCGGTCGATGTTGAACGATCTGACGCTTCGGCGACGGCTGGTCGTTCAGGGTGGAACAAAATCCCCGCGGCGTCGGGAACCGACGTTGGGATCGGAATCAGCACGGCACCGACGTTGAGCACCGACGCCGACCCAGAATCGGTCGATGTTGCACGATCTGACGCTTCGGCGACGGCTGGTCGTTCAGGGTGGAACAAAATCCCCGCGGCGTCGGGAACCGACGTTGGGATCGGAATCAGCACGGCACCGACGTTGAGCACCGACGCCGACCCAGAATCGGTCGATGTTGCACGATCTGACGCTTCGGCGACGGCTGGTCGTTCAGGGTGGAACAAAATCCCCGCGGCGTCGGGAACCGACGTTGGGATCGGAATCAGCACGGCACCGACGTTGAGCACCGACGCCGACCCAGAATCGGTCGATGTTGCACGATCTGACGCTTCGGCGACGGCTGGTCGTTCAGGGTGGAACAAAATCCCCGCGGCGTCGGGAACTCACCACCCACCAAACCACCCCAACCCAACCCGAAGGCTCAGATTTACCCTCTATTTCCAGTGGGGGGGGCTCGGGAAACATCGAAAAAAACACATGTGGAACCCTTACCCCCCCCAACCCGAAATTCGGGTCTTCGGGTTGGGTTGGGGTGGTCTGGTAGGTAGTCAGGAACCACGTTGGGATCGGAATCAGCACGGCACGGACCCGCGGATGCCCTTCCAAGAAGCATTCCGCCCTGGGCGAAGGCCACATCCCCCCCCTCGGCGGCGAGCCCAGG